TTACATTTCTTCTTTTAAGGGTGATTTGTTTATATTATAACTGTGCTGCTACTGAACTATTTTCTACCTATCAATTTGTGGAAATCATTTTTATGTTCAGTGTGTAATGTCTTATATTCTGTGTCTCCCAGTCTACTGCTAAACTTACAACTTGATTAACAGTGTCTTTTATCATACAAAAGTATTCACTTTTTATGAATTGCAATTTTGGTTTTGTTAGACTGAAAATCACAGAGAGATCAACAAAGAGATGACTTGCTGTCAACACACGTCTATTCAGGAGACGAAACCTGTGGAGTGGGTCTGCAACAAGAGAGCTAAAGACCACTTCTGCTTATAGACTCAGGGTTTTATAGGAAAGGAAGGACCTGGTAAAGGGTAGGGGGACCTAGCTACTCAGGAGGCAGAAATCAGGAGGATTGTGGTTCTAAGCTAGCCCAGGCAAATAGTTTGCAAGATCCTATTTCAAAAATGCCCTACATAAAAAAAGGACTGGCTGAGTGGCTCAGGGTGTAGGCCCTGAGTTCAAGCCCCAGTACTGCAAAACAAACAAACAAACAAAAGGTAGGGGGAGTTTTTTCCACTATGGCTTGTACATTGCCCATTGCTAGGGGTAGTCAAGGAACTAGGCCTTTTGTCCATCATGGTACAGGTGCTGGGAACCAGGACATTTCAGTCATGGACCAATGGCAGCAATAGGAGTTTCTGGGGGTAGTCAAGGAGCTAGGTCTTGTGTTCTGGCACAGGTGCTGAGAAACAAGATGTTTCCCTTGGGGAGCCCGTCTCTACTGGAGCCAACAACTCCAGGGTTAAGCAGAGTTTAAGATGGCGTAAGTGATGTCAAGTTGAGACCTATCAGTTTTCTTATTTGGGGACTTCATGTCTTGTAAAGGAAAATATTTTCCACTCCCAAATTGTAAAAATGTTCTTTCACATTTCCTTCTAACATTTAAAAATAAATTTAAAAAATATGTCTAACACTTTAGTCATTCTGGGAATGTTTGTGTTAAATATACCCAGACATTCTCTCCATTCTTCCAAATCCTCTTATCTGCTCTCATAAGTCCTAGGGCAGCGTTTTTGCGCATGGTGTGAGATAGGAGCCTACTGGATGGCCAGTGCTGAGGCTTGGATCTTGTGCCTATCTGTTAACCAGTGGCTGCAGCAATGGGGCTGCTCCTTGATTGGCTAGGCCTGGCCATCATATGGTAGCAGGGCAGCCTGCCAGCCCATGCATAGCCTGCAGTGTAGTTTCCTTATGAAGACTTTTTCTCTGTGCTTTTTGCCATAATTTGTTAGGTTGTATTTGGTGTGCTCAGCTCTTCTGCGGACACATCTCATTTTCTCACCCTTCCTCTGCATCCTTTCTGTTCTCAGGTGGGGCCCAGACCCACTGAAACTCTGAGAGGAATACAGAGCTGTGGAGCAGAGGCTCTTCTCCTGCCCCTATTCATCTTCCCAGCAGACTTTCTTCCACCTTTTGTGTAGGGAAGTCCCACAGTCATCAGGTTCTGACAGGACAAGCTACCCACCCAAATGATCATGTGTCTCAATTCCAAATTCCTGGCCGATGTCCAGTGTGGCTAGCTCCCCAACTGGGGAGGGCTGTTTCTAGGACAAACACAACTTCTGGGAAACCCCTGCAGGGAAGACAGTCTCAAGGTAGAGGCATGTGCATCATTAATTCCAAGTGCTCCTGAACCTGGCTCACCTGGATCCTGTCTTTGTTGGCTGTGATTCCTTCCTGGCATAGCTAGTAGCAGAGCTCAGTTGTTTGGTGACTAACTATGTCTTCCTTCCCTGTGGTCTGTAGAACCCAGCAGGAGCTGGGACACTCACTGAGGGTCATGGGACTGAATGTGTTCCTGGGGGCTGGGTCAGTTGATGTTTCTAGTTCATGTCATCTCAATCTGTGCACTAGGCTGGAGGTGTAGCTCAGTGGCAGAGCATTTTGTGTAGCATGCATGAGGCCCTGGGTTCCATCCCTAGCAACACACGCACACACAGATGTGCAACTGAAGCTTAGTGACTTGTCAAGTCATGGAACACTGACCATTGTAATGGGTGCTCAAACTGTTTTTGCTGAAGAGCACTGACTCCTTATTTGGCCCCATAAATTAAACACAGGAGAAGAGCTTGCCATCCCTCGCTTCATTTTGTACCTATTGTCCTTTGCTCTGAGCCATTCTCTCCTGCAGCCACCTTGGAATCAAGGAAGGACAGGATGATCGATGACATCTTTATGAGAAGGGACTGAAACGTCTCATCAGGAACAGTGGAGACTTGCAGGACGGACACCCCTCCAAATGAGGACAATAACCTATAATGATGAGGCTGCACCCTGGAGCAGGAGCAGTCACCTCATGAGAACCAGATCACTGCCCTCAAGTGATGACAGCGATGACAACTTCTCTGGAACCTCTGTGGGAACCCTTGGACTGAGATAATGGTTAACCAGACCACACCTGTGACTGGGACTGTTGAACTATGCACACCTTTGTCTCCTGCCCCCAGTTTTTTGTCTACTTAAACCTATAGCTCATCTCTGTACCCAGAAGATGGCTGAAGATGGACTGAGTGCTCACTCTGCCTCTTCCCATGACATGTCCAGAGCTGTGTAATAAAATAAATCTTTCTCTGCTTTCACCATGCTTCTTTACTTGTCATATATGGGTAAGTGGCTAGATCTGGCATGTGGAATCCCAGGAGTTTGGGCCTGGGGTCCAAAACTCTGGTTTCAGCCACATGGGTGGCCCCTTTCAATGGTCCTTTCCTATATAAGCTGTCTCTCACATTATATGGAAAGACCCAGCTACCTGGCCATGGCTAACTGTGAGAGACTGTAGGAGTAGGGTCTGTGGCATAGCTGGGCTTTCTAGGAGTATGTTCCTTGAATGAATTTTCCCTGGTCCCCGGAGTTCTGCTGTGTTCCTGGGGTGGGCACCTCTTGTGATCTGGACAAAGCTGCAAAGGCAGGTGGGTATGCCTTTGTACCTTGATCAAATTCACCCCCTCTTGAATCATTCTCAGCAACATCCCCCCATTTTTTCTTTTTCCTTTATTGTTATGTTGGGTGCGGGTACATTGTGACATTTATATTTACAGAGCTTCTTACAATATATCAAATATATCATACTTGAATTCACCCCCTCCACTACTCTCCTTCAGCCCCTCTCCCCCAATTCCTGGAACAGTTTCAACAGGTATCATTTTTGCATTTACATACATGTGTATATATTATTTGTGCCGTATTAATCCTCCTACCCTTTTTCCCCTTCCCCTTCCCATTCCCACTGGTGCCAACTTCCCCCACCCCCCAGCAGAACCTGTTCTGCCCTCCTGTTCTCAGATTTTGTAGAAGAAAAAAAGATAAAAGATAAAAAGAAAAACATGACATTTTTGCTAGCTTGAGATAAAGATAGCTACACAGGGAGTTTCCTTGTGTTGTTTCCATGCATATGTGTATTACAACCCCAACTGGCTCATCTCTACCAGTCCTCTTCACTCCTCCCTAGTCCACTTCCCATGGTGGCCCCGGCCAGTTTAAGATTTCTATATTTATTCCAGTACAGAGAAAACATCAAACACATTCAAGTTTCTGGTTTCCTTCACTTGTCCTATTCCTCCTGTGCACAGTCTCCCCTTAGCGTGACTCATGTCCAGTAATATTGCTGCATTTGTTTTAGGTCTACAATCCGCATATGAGGGAGAACATGTGTCTTTTGGCCTTCTGAGCCTAACTTTACTTAAGATGATGTCCTCCAGTTCCACCCATTTACCTGCAAATGACAACATTTCATTCTTCTTTGTGGCTGAGTAAAAGTCCATTGTGTGTAAGTACCACATCAGAAAGGTGTTTTCAAGTTTAACAGATTGAAAAGAAAAAAAAAGGAGACTCAGAGAGGGGGACAGTTTGTTCACTCTTGTTGTTTTTGTGGTGCAGCAGTGCTCAGACTCAATTCAAGATGGGTGACAGAGTGAAAGACAGATCTTGCTTTTGTATTAATAATAATAATAACGAGCTTGGGAAGTCTGCAATTACATGACCCAGTGAGACTTCATCGTGGCACCAGAGACTCAGCAAGACCAGAGAGAAGTGGGGGAGAGGTGCTGTGATGGAGCCAAGCTGCAAGACAGTTTAAGCATTTTGGTGTTCACATTTGAACGCCAGCTGTGCCTCTTACCAACAATTTTCACAACCTGGTCTATGTCTATGTCTTTACAGTGATAGCGGTATCTTCCTGCCTTTGTGAAGATTCAATGAGGTAGCTCATAGAAAGTGCCTGGTACAGGGAAACCTCAGGACAGCCACTACTAGGTGTCAGATGGATACATTTAAATCTGTCCCATCCAAGCACTGTCCTCCTGGTCCTTGTGGACAGCTTTGGGTGGTGGAGGACCAGGGGCTCCAAGCGTTTTCCTTAGAAACGTCTCTCGTCTGCCTCCTGTAGGGCTACTGCGGCACTGCAGGCGGATGGGGCTGTCTGGTCAGGCTTAATGTGTCTACGTCTGGGGTAGCTGAGCCTGGATTCATGGCTGCTCCTGATATTTATCACTAAAATGGAGGGGATGTAGGAAAGCCTTTTGTACTTCTGCACTTGAAAACAACCAGAGGTTAGACTGATGCTTATGGTTTACTGAGAACGACCATGTGGGTGTTGCTTTGGGTGTCACTGCCCAAGAGTCAGGGATCAGATGCTTTCATGACCCGGAGAGGGGAGCAGAAGTGACCAGGTCGGCCCCAAAAGACACAGTGTGGCAAAAAAAAAAAAAAAAAAAAACACAACCAAAGAAACCCTACTCAGAGGGGCGTGGCCCGCTGCTCCCCGCGCGCTAAACGCGGCCTGGCTCGCGCGCGTACGCCCCACCCCTCGGGACAGCGCACTTCCGGCCGCTCCTCCCTGCACCTGCATCCGGGGCATGACGCGCGCGCGCGCGCGCGCACACACACACACACACACACGCACACACACACACTCTCCCTCGCCCCCCCGTCGGGTGACGTACGCAGCCTCTGACCGGAACCGGAAGGGGACCCCGAGCCTGGAGGAAGAAGCCGGCGCGGCCCCGTCAGCAGCAGGCCGTTCCGAGGGGCGGCGGCCTCGCTGCGCGTCCCCGTGCGAGCCGGGGCCGCGGCGCCATGAAGCTCTACAGTCTCAGCGTCCTCTATAAGGGCGACCCCAAGGTGGTGCTGCTCAAAGCCGCGTACGACGTGTCTTCCTTCAGCTTCTTCCAGAGGTCCAGGTGAGGCGATCGGGGTGGCCGGGGGTGGGGTGCCCGGAGGGTCCTACAGAGGAACCCCGCCCCGCCCCCCCCCCAGCCATGGCCTCTTCCTCCGTTAGCGGTCTGGACTCTGAGGAATCCTAGAGCATCCCGTCGTGAAAGTCCGCGGCCACCCAGAATGTTGTTCTAGACTCAATATTTTCCGAATTTTCTGCCCTAAAATAATGAGAATGGGGATTTTGAAATAGTACAGATTTCTAAGGTTCACGCCCAAATGTTCTGGATGAGTAGGTTGGGTCACAGAAATGTTTTATTTATTTTTTGGCGGGACTGGGGTTTGAACTCAGGGTTTCACACTTGCAAAGCAGGTGCTCTGCCGCTTGAGCCACACCTCCAGTCCATTTTGCTCTGGTTGTTTTGGAGATGGGGTCTTGTGAACTATTTCTCCAGGCTGGCCTCAAACCTTGTTCCTCCCGATCTCATCCTCCCAAATAACTAGGTTCACAGGCGTGAGCCACCACGCCCAGCTTCAGAAACGTATATTCCCAACGCTTGGCACCCAGTGATTGATGGCAGGGAGCCTGGGTCTTGAGAGCCACCTGGTGTTTTCTCATGGGACTTTCCACCAATTCAGAATGATAGACATTGGTGTGTTCTTTTCATGACTGAAGTCACTGAGGCCCCAAGAGATTGTCCTCACCAAGCTAGGAGTGGAACCCAGATTATAGACTTGAACTGGGTACTGGTGATACAAACAGGTTCTACATTTAAGAGCTGGGACTGTAGGACTTACAGGGGTTTAGATGTGTCTGCATGCTTTGATTGCAGGAAGGTGTGTGTTAGAAGGCCCCAGACAGGTTCAGTCCATTAGTGGTAGGAGGCAGAGCGAGTCAGGCACAGAAGAAGGACCCGTAGGGTCAGCATCCATGGTCATCCTATCACAGAGTCTGGTGGGACCTGCCACTCAGATTCTGTTTTCATTGTTTCAGTACACCTGTATGTTCATCATGAGAGTGCTTTGCTAGTGGCTTGCTGGTTGGATCTAAAGCAATTTCTTTTATTTTGTTGAAACTTTCTGTTGCTTTAGGGTTTTTTGTTTTTTGGGGTTTTTTTGGTAAAATACACATAAAATATTTGCTATCTTAACTATTGTAAGTGTACAGCCCGCTGGTAATAGACACATCCATAATGTTATGCAGACATCAGCAGTGTCCAGTTTTTCATCTTGTGAAACTGAAACTCGGTGCCTGTTAAATGCCACCTCCCTCCTTCTCTGGCCCCTGGCAACCGCCCATTCTACTTTCTGTCTCTGTGATTTTGACCATTCTAAGGCCCTCATGTAAGTGGAATCATACAGTATTTGTCTTTTTGTGTCTGGCTTATATCACTTAGCATAATATCCTCAAGGTTCAACCATGTTGTTACATTTATCAGAATTTCCTTTTATTTTGAGGCTGATAATATTTAATTGTACATATACACATCCATCTACCAGTAGACATTTGGGTTGCTTCCACATCTTAGCTATTATGACTAATGCTGCTGTGAAATGGGTGTGTAAATATCTCTTTAAGATCCTGCTTACAGTTTTCTTTGGTATATACCCAGAAGTGGAATTGTGGCATCATCTTTTGGCTCAAAGTTCTTGTTACTTAGGTTTACTTACCCTGGTCTCAGTTTTCTTCTCTGTTATTGCGCTTCTCTGATGGAAGTTTTGGTGTCAACTTGGCCCTGGTTCTTTTTCCTTTTTCCTTTCCATTTATGCTGAAGATTCTCAGAGATTTCACTGTAGAGCTTACACCTTCTTTGGGATACACATGCTAGTCTCAGATGACTTAACAATAACAATACTAAAGGGACATCTGTACCAGTGTAGAGATGCTCTAGCTGAGCCCATTTTCTCATAAGACCTCACTTCCATAATTACCAGACCCCAAGCTTAAAACCTTTGAATAGTTTCTTAGCTTTTCTGGCACTGTAGACAGGCTCTCAAAATTAATGCAGTTCTTCCTTTGTCTAGTTGTAGCCCTACTGTAAGTACTGTCTCTTTTTAGTTTTATTTCAAAGGCTTCCTTGTTTGAGGACTTGACTTTTCTAAGATTATTTTCTCCTTTTCTCTGATTATTTTGATCATGCTATTCCCTCATGTTAATAATAGCTTGTAATACTGTGTGCCAGGCATTGTGCCAAGTGCTTTACATGTGTTAACTCACTTAACTGTCATGCCAGTTTTGATATTACTAGTGAGGCACAGCATGGTAATTTGCCTGACATCTAGAAAGAGTTAAGGAGTTGGGTCTTCAGACTTTGTATGGCTCTGCAGGAGTCCTGTTTGAACTCCCAATTAAGGACCCTGCTCTGATGGCCTTGGCTTGAGGTTCCCTCTTAGAATCTGATCTGCTGGCTGGACCATCTTCTATGACTGTTTCATTTTGGGTTAATCCCTTTGTAGAGCCCATGACAGGCCTTCTCCCTCTCAGACTTTGTACGAGCTATTTCCCACTTTCCTGTCTTGGCTAAGCCATTTCCTTCCATTACTTCCAGAATGTGTGGGCCCCAGCAGACCTGAGTAGCACTATGATATTGCCACAGTAATAACTGGTTGTGTACCTGCCTGACAAAACTAGTGTTTTCCTAGAGCAGTTTATATTTGTCTTGCTTCTTGGATGTTAGTGGATTTTGGGAGCAGGAACTGCCTCCTACTTTTCCACTGGGTCCCAAATCATACCCTTACCAAAATGTTAAATTGACTGTAGCCAGAAGAAAATTCCCCAGAAGTCTGGAAATGGGTTGTGTGATGAGTTAGGTGGGAAACAGATGTGACTTGAAAGGTGGCATCTATGTTCCCGTTCATTTATAGTGTTTATATTTGTTACTAAAGTTAGGAGGGAAAGGAATGACTCCTTAACTTACAAGCTCAGAGGTCACTTTGTATTGTGCTGGGGACAAGTGATAAGAATAAGATAATATATGTTGTGTTTCTTAGCGTTCAGGAATTCATGACCTTCACAAGTCAACTGATTGTGGAGCGGTCAGCAAAAGGCAGCAGAGCTTCTGTCAAAGAACAAGGTAAGAGGGCTTTTCAGCTTCTAAGTGTGTGCTGGCCTGGCTGCCGCATCGCACACAGCCTACAGCTCTTTCAGTGCTAGGTGGGGTGCCACAGGGACCCAGCTCCTGCTAGCTTGTTCTCTCCTCTCCTCCTCCTTTTCTTGTTTACACAGAATTCTGTGCCCACTGTTGATGTTTAAGCTTGCTGGATAAAATTACCTCTTAGGCTTGAACTCACTTAAGATTATAGTCTGATTCTCCAGTAGATCTTAGCCAAAAGGCTGAGAAGTGATAGGGTCTGATTGTCATAGAGCAATAAGCAGTCTTCATATTCTTCCCTGTCTCCTCAAGAAAAGATTTTCAGCTAGCACTCTTGAGGTAATACTGCATTCTGTACTCCTTAGATTTTTTTTGACTAGGAATCTGGAAACTCATTCTTTTCTCATTTTCGTTAACTCAGGTTTTGTGAAACAGTTTTTAAGCATTTATTTTAAACTTGTAAATTACATGGATTTTTAAGAAAAGTTACATGAATTTCATCAGGCAGAAACAAAGACCACCTCACACGTGCACTGACCTTATGTCACTTCATGTGAAGTTACTGGATTGATGATATAACTATTAGTTATGCCACAAGCAGTATTGAGTGTGTATATTTCACGTGTGATCTCTGTGCTGTGAATATCACAGAGGTGAAATTGAATCATGAACATTGCAGTTTTCTCTTCTCAGTTTCCTTCAGATGGTCTTTCCCAGCTTTATTACTTAAAGATCACTCCTCAGACACTGACCAGCTTCTCGGTTTCTGTGTGCACTTCGACCCTGTGTTTGAATCTCATTGATTTAAGAATGTATACAAAATCATTCGCTGCCTCATTCCTATTCTTGCTGATCTCTGCCCTCTTCTGATATCAGGGGCTCACAGTCTTTCCCTCCCTTTTATTTCCCTATGGTTTAGCATCAGAATCTTCTGGGTCAGATACATAAGGACAAGAAGGTTCTTATTTGTAAGCTGTGGTTAACTGTCATCTCTGACCCTTTTCAAAGTGATGAATATTGTTAGTGCTGTGGATTGTGACTATTTTGCAGACGCCCATCACAGTCCATGTCCTTTGATCGTATGACAACTTGTGTCAGCAATGGCTAATTTTTTCCTAGACAGTTCCCCCCAGTTACCAACCACAGGCTGGGATAGGTCAAGCAGTGTTGCCACAATTGGTAGACTGAGGCCCTGGGAGTTAATATCCTGTCTTTTGGTCACTCTGAATGGTTTTCAAAGAAAATAGAAGCTGCTTGACTTGTCCAGGGTCCCTCAATTTGGGAGCAGCACAGGGCCTTTAGAAGGCTGTTAGTTGCCAAGACACAACCAGGCCTGACCTTACTCAAGGAAGTGACCTGGAAATGCTCCTGGGGGTTTATTTCCTGGATTGTGTTTTCTCACACTAGCAGCTCAGTGCAACCTTGGCTTTGCATATGAAGCCTCTGGGCTCTGCTGGACCTAAGCGGGTATTGGGCTAGCTTCTGTCTATAATCTGTGAAGCTGTGCTGCAGAACATCTCCACAGACTTCATCCAGAGCAGCTGAGCTATAAAGTGGCTTCAGAATGGCTTCATGTGACTCAAAAAGCAGGAGCCAGCATTGCGATTCTTCGATTTGGGGGATTAAAAATAGTCTGAAGCCCTCACGCCACCCTCACATGTATGATCTCTTGTCTTCTCCTTAGAGTATCTATGCCATGTCTATGTCCGAAATGACAGTCTTGCAGGTGTGGTCATTGCTGACAGTGAGTACCCATCCCGGGTGGCCTTTACCTTATTGGAGAAGGTAAGTGTGTGATTTGGCTGGACTGGACTAGGCGGACAAGTGTAGAGCATGGTGGACAGTGCCTGAGGCACAAGGGATAATTGGTCCAAAGACCACGTTTTCATCCATTGCTCCTGCCCCAGACCAGGAAAGAGTGACTTCCCTGACAGATTCCCTCACTCGTGCTACCTCTGTCCCTCACATGACCCATGTCCTGACCACTGGTTGTGGTACCTTTGCTGGAACAGGGCCAGCTATGCCTGGGACACTCAGAGTTGCCATTCTCCTCCCTGCACTTGTGCTGAGGGTCCCTTGCTCTCTCCACATTGCTTCTGTAGTCACGGCAGCCTTTCCCAATGGAGCTGGTTGGGCAGCTGAACATTCATTTCCTTGTGTGGTTCTAACTATAAACTTTAAGTCAAGGGCTTCACCCCATCCCCCAGCACTAAAATGCCCCAAGTACCTGATACCGGTCGCTTACCTCCAAAGACCTCCTTCACTTTTTTGAAGAATTACTTGGAAAATTAGAGGGCCAGTGGCCTTTGCCCTGGAAATCTGTCCTTTAAAACATGAACATTAGGTTGGGATGTAGTTCAGTGGTAGAGTGCTTGATTAGCTTGCTCAATCCCAGCACCAAAAAAGAAAAGACAAAAAAAAAAGGGCTGGGTATACTTCACTTTTGATTCCTGGATGATTACTTAGGAAGTATTTGGAAAGAGGAACTTTAGCCTGGACTGTTGTCTTCTTCCCTCTCTGGGCTCTGGGGAGCCTGGGAGCCTCATTTGGGGTGAAGTGCTGAGGGGTGCAGCCCTGTCACAGAGGGTGCTGGTGAGCACAGGTGGGATATTTGTTGAAGTTCCTTTGTCTTGCAGGTATTAGATGAATTCTCCAAGCAGGTCGATAGGATAGACTGGCCAGTAGGATCCCCTGCTACAATCCAGTACACAGCCCTGGATGGTCATCTTAGTAGATACCAGGTAGGTTTAAACAAGTATCCTGTAGCCATGTGGCCCAGAATGTGTGTGATACTGAAAAGGCCAGCCACCATGATAGTTTATTTCTGGTAACTTCTGTTGCTAGTCTTTTCTCCCAAACCTTCAGTTTGAAAAACACAATCACTTTCAGATCTGGGAAGCCAAGCTGTAAGCAGGCTTTTTGTTTTTCTGTCCGGTGTTTAAATAGGCTGTGTCTTTTCATTGTGAAAGTTGGTCCACATTCCTTGGTTTGTGCTTACTTACAGGTAGCCACTCCAGTCCTAACTTTGTTCTTATTCTGGCTCTTTCCTAGAACCCTCGAGAAGCTGACCCCATGAGTAAAGTGCAAGCTGAACTAGATGAGACCAAAATCATTCTGGTAAGCAGGAAGGCGAGGAGCAAACCTGAGAATTGAAGGGCAGAAGGATATGGCACTGGCCAAGCATTCTCCATGGAATGTTGATTGCCACCCCACCTCCCTCATTAGACTGTCCCTTCCCTGCTCTGTCTTGGTTCATAGCACCCACTGTTTGGAGGGAACCAAGCTGGGAAACAGTGTGTCCCTTCAGTCTCCTCCCTATGACCACTCCTTATCTGGCAGTTACAGAGTTCTGATGGTGTGACCTCCAGTAGTACTTCATTTCCATTACCTGTAACCTTTGTTAGGTTACCTGTCAATCTCTGGTCCAAGGGGGCACACTGATGCACAGTGCACTGATCAGAGACAACTGTGTTCTGTGTCATGGGCTTGTTTTAGTTGAGTTGGAACCCCTGCATTTTTATTTGGAATCTACTGATTTGCACGCTGCTTCAACTTTGTTTGAATTCTCCACACATGTGAATGTGAGCAGCCATCTGTTTTCCTCCTCAGGTTTGCTCCCTGTGGCCTTTGTTTCTAACTGGTTCCCTCACCTCCCGTCTGTCCACCCAGTCAGTAGACATTGACCTGTCATTCCTCTGTAAAGTCCTTCACCAGCTCTCACATCTGTTCAGGATAATTGCACATGCCCCCCAACAGTCTCTTGTCCTCTTCTACACCCATTTCTGCTCAGCTTACGTGCAAACACCTCATGCTCAGGCCTTTCCAAAGGTCACTGTTGCCACTGCTTGTGTGCACATTTCCCTGACCAGCATGTGAGTTCCAGGGACTGATTTTCCATCCCTGCCCACTATACAATGTCTAGCTTATGCTGGTACTTACTGATATGAAGCTCAGAAAACAAAACAAAAAAAACACCTCTGATAACAAGATTTGCTGATGACACTGGCATAGTTTTAGCAGGCATAAGCATCTCCTGGTCTGAAGCTAGTTGGTCTGGGAGGTGCTTGAGGACCTGTATTCTATGAAAAGCAGGGCAGGCCCAGCACTCAGGAGGCTGAGGCAGGAGGATCACAAATTTGAGGCTATCCCGAGCTACTTAGTATGTTCCAAGGAAGATCGGACTACATAGGGAGACCCTGTGTTAAAATAAAAAAGTAAGTGGATAAATAAAGCAGCCCAGGATCTTCAAACATAGGCCTCTTGTGGTACTAGGGTTTGAACTCAGGGTCTTGTGCTCGCAAAGCAGGCACTGTTTTACTTGAACCATGCCCCCAGCCCAAACACAGGTGTTTGGATCACGCTCTGAATAACACAGCTTTGGAATGAAAAGTGTATTGGGCTTTCTGACCTCTGAGGTGGGTTTCTCCTCATTTTCTGCCTAAGTCCTATCTCTTCCTTGTGCTGCTTGAGTGTGAGTCTGACACCCTCAGAGCCTAAGATACCAGGATATCCACTGTCTCTTCCACCAGAGAGCAGATGAGCCATGCTTACCCAGCCCTGTTCTGGCTGCAGTTGTGACATCTGGATCATTCCTGTCCATACCCTAATCCAGCTGACACTAAGGCACAAGGCCTAGCACATGTTAGGCAGGCATTCTACTGCTGAGCTATACTGAGCTATTTCCAGCCCTCTGGCTAGGGTTTTATTTATTTATTTATTTATTTATTTGTTTATTTTTGTGGTACTGGGGTTTGAACTCAGCTTTATGCTTGCTAGGCAAGCACTGTACCACTTGAGCCAGTTTGCCAGTCCTGGGCTAACTTTTTATGTTAAAATCTGCGTGATTCAGCTGTGTGTAGGGATAAAGTACACGCCTGCTAATTCCTCAGCTGGTGCTATTTCCCATTTGTGTACTGCTGCTCTGGTAATTGCCCTCTTGGGAGAGAAGTGGCTATTCTGAGGGCTTCCATCTCTGTACCCCTTCAGAAAGGGCTTGTTATTCCTGTTTTCCAAGTGCAGAGTTGGCAGTGATGACATTTAGGATATAGCCCTTTTATGGAAGCAGGACATGTTCTGGCATGGTGCTGTCAGTAGGAATATAATACACTGTATATACAAATCGTGCAATTCTGAATTTGATGGGAGCCATATTTTAGAATGATGAAAGGAGTTGAAAGTTATTTTAATAATATTTTTTGTTTAATCCTGTTTGTCCACATCTTACCTTCACATGTAACCAATATAAAAGTCCCAAGGAAGGTATGTTGCATGTCAATCCTGAATCTTTGAAATCTGGTGTGTTTGCAATTGAAACACATCTGTTTGGACTGTTCTCTTCTCAAGTGCTTGAGAGCTGTTTGCCCAGATCAGACAGTACAGCTTTCCCACTGTGTTACTTTCCTGTGGCTGATCACTGTTATGCACAGACTGCAGAAGTGTATTCTGTCTCAGTTTGGAGGCCAGAAGTTTGAGATCAAAGCATGGGCAAGGCTGGTTCCTTTTGGAGGCTGTGAGAGTCCATTCAAGGCCTCTGTGCAGCCTTTGGTGTGTACTGGCAGTACTTGGTTTGTAGACACCATCACTCCAATTTCTCCTCCGTGTCTGTTTCTGTTTCCTCTTAGAAGTCATGGCAGTAGGGCCCATCCTAATCCAGCATGACTTCATCTTGTGTGTGTGTGTGTGTGTGTGTGTGTGTTTTATTTATTTTTATTAGCATATTATAGTTTTACAAGGTGATACACTATGATATTTACAATGTGCTTACAATGTATCTTAAGATTCATCCCCCTCCATCCTTCTCCCTCATCCCTTCTCCTACCCTTCATGGAACAGTTTCATCCGATCTCATTGTTCTGTTTTCATACATGAACGCAAAATAATTACATCATGTTCACCTCCTTCACCCTTTCCTTATGCTCCCTCTCCCATTGGTACCTACCTCCTGGACAGGACCTGTTTTACCTTCCTGTCCTTTTTTAAAAAAAAAAAAAACCCACCATTTTTGTTAGTATATGTTAGTTATATAAGGGTTTCATTGTGACATTTCTGTATGTTCATGTTTTATGCCCTGAATTTGTTTTTCCCCTCCATTATTCTCCCTCCTACCTCTGAAGAAGTCACCCTTCTTCAGGTTTCAGTGTTCCATGTTCCTACTTGTATGGAAAGTATACCAACCATATTCTCTCTCCTTTGCTTTCTTCTTTTCTTTCCCCTCCTACTAGTGCCCTTCCCTTAACATAACCTGTTCACATTCCTCTCCTTCATTGTTTAAGTGTCTGTTCGTTTTTCAGTGGGGTTTTGCCTTGGTATTTTAACTGTAAATATATTGTACTTAAATCAGTCTTACCCTCTCCACTACCCTGCCTCTCCTTTTTCCCCTACCTGGTGGTGTTCACCAGTTTTCGGTGCATTGTGTTGTGATTTGTACCTACACCGACGTGATGTGTTTTGTTATTATTCACTCTATCATTCTTTTTTTCTTTTCCTCTTTCCTTAGTTTCCTCTAACACTCCCACTTTTGGAAACATGTTCTGTGTATCTATATATCTGTATCTATCGATCGATCTATCTATTAGATCTATCATCCACATATGAGAGAAAACATGAGACCTTTGTTTTTGTGAGCCTGGCTAGCATCACTTACGGTAATGTTCTCCAGTTCCATCCAAATCTGCAAATGACAAAATTTCATTCTTTTTTATGGCTGAATAAAATTCCATTGTATATGTACCACATTTTCTTAATCCATTTATCAGTTGTAGGGCATCTGCGCTGTTTCCATGGCTTGGCTATTATGAATAATGCTGCAGGAAACAAGGGTGTGTATAAGTGTCTTTATTGTATCCTGACTTAATATTCCTTTGAATGTATCCCTAGGAATGGTATTGCTAGATCATATGGCAGTTCTGTTTTTAGCTTTTTGAGGAACTGCCTGTTTTCCAAAGTAGTTGTACTAGTTTACATTCCTATCAACAGTGTATGAGATTCCTTTTTCCCCCGCATCCTTGCCAACATTTATTATTTGTGTTTTTGATGGTAGCCATTCTAACAAGAGTGAGGTGCAATTTTAATGTGATTTTGATTTGCATTTCCTTTATGGCCAGTGATCGTGAGCATTTCTTCATGTGTTTTTTCAGCCATTTGGACTTCTTCCTTTAAAAAAGCTCTGTTCAGCTCATTTGCCATTCCTTCATTGGGTCATTGATTCTTTGGGAGTTTAGTTTTTTGAGTTCCCTGTATATTCTGGTTATCAATCCCTTGTCACATGTACAGCTGGCAAAGATTTTCTCCCATTCTGTGGGCTGCCTCTTTAATCTGGTGACCATTTCCTTTGCTTTTTAGTTTCATATAGTCCCATTTGTCAATCCTTTCTCTTATTTGCTGAGCCTTCGGAGTTCTATTTAGAAAGCTATTGCCTGTGCCTGTAAGTTCCAGGGTATTCCCTGCTTTTTCCTGAACTACCTTCAAAGCTGCAGGCCTTATGTTAAGGTCCTTTATCCACTTTGAATTGATACTTGTACAGGGTGACAGTCATGGATCTAGTTTCAGTTTTCTATATGGCAGATACTCAGTTTTCCCAGCAACATTCGTTGAAGAGGCTGTTTTTTTCTCCATCATTTGTTTTAGGTGCCTTTGTCAAAAATCAGGTGGGAGTAGCTGCATGGATTAGTGTCTTCCTCTAGAGCTCCCTCCCCCACCTCCAGTGTGTGTATGTGCTCACACACAAGTATAAATATGTATATGCATGAGCTTTCCTAGAGAAGTGCTCATCTAAGTCTGTGCTAGGGAAGTTTTGGGGTGAGTGAGAACTCCTGGATTCCATGGGAATGCCACTAAGACCTTTTCCACCAACTAAAATGTTAACTCTTCTGGGACCCAGTCCCAGTGCTTGGAGAAGAGCCCAGAGAGGTGCTTCTCCAGCCACTGAACTTCTACAAGGGGCTCTTGTGAACAGTCACTTACTGAACACAGCAAATAATTTCTTCTCTCTTTTTTTGTCCAGCACAACACCATGGAGTCTTTGTTAGAGAGAGGCGAGAAGCTCGATGACTTGGTGTCCAAATCGGAAGTTCTGGGAACACAGTCCAAAGCCTTCTATAAAACTGTGAGTAGCTGCTGCCTGGTCCTTCGGGCACCCTTCCCACATAGCCATTGCAGCCTGTTTCTTCTGGCACTCTCCACTAGGAACAGGTCCTTCTTAGTTTATATAACTAAGGTGGGTTTTTTTGCTCATTTGTTCATTTTGTGTTTTTTTGATTGTTGGTTTTTTGTTTTTTCCTGATACTGGGGTTTGAAATGAGCTAGCTACCTCCCCAGCCCACTGGAGGAATTTGGGTTCCATTCGTTGGGGAATGGTAGCCTAAGGCAAGTGCCCCAGACCATGGTGATTTGGGACAGATTCACTTGGACACTTTTTGCTGTGCTCTGATGTGCTGTCTTTGGAGCCCAAACCCCCTCACCACATTGATTCCAGTTCTGATCACTAGGGTCTGCCCTCATGCCTCTGTTTGCTGAGTAGTTAGGCTTAAGTCCTAGCGGCAGCTCACCATTTGCAGGAGGTTCTGTTGTGTTGGCAGGACAGCTCCTACTGGCTGCCTGTTTCTGTCCAAGCAGTGCTCACATTTCCCAATGTGGATAGGCACTCTTGGCCCATTGGTGGACAGTAGTAGATGAGCCAGTGCATGCACATTGGAGGGAGATGGCTAGGTGGGGTTAGGAGGACAGAAAACCCAAGAGGAGGTGTGACAGCCATTTTGTCGCCACAAAAATGTGAGCAGGAGCCATATCCGTTCTCTGGAAGACCATCCTCTAGGAAATGACACTACTAGGATGGTCAGGTAGCATTGTTGGAGGACAGGAGTGGGGACATTGTTACTCAGCCAGTTCAATCTGCATTATTGGTCTTTTGCTTGTACCTGGCCTAACAGGAATTTTATCCACTTTTGATGGCATTAATGAGATGTAGGGGAAAAAAAAAGATAAGAATCTCAGACTAGCAGTGGAAGCTGTGTGGTGTGATCTACTGGTGGGCAGTCCTCCTTCCTGGTTAGTTCTAGTTTCTCAGTCAGACTGCTTCTGGTGGCACTCTGCCTGCCATACCTGCTGGGGTTGGGACCACCCTCCCCCCGCCTCCTTCAGCCCCTCTTTTTCTTTCAAGGCCCGGAAACAAAACTCGTGCTGTGCAATTATGTGACACAGCCCACAGAGGCCCGGCGCTGGATTGTCACTTCACATCAGAACTGTTGCAGCCCCTGGAGAAGACAAACCCTAAAAGAAGACCTAGAGTTGGGCAGACTGGCTATTTTTATTTTGAAGTTCCCAGGAGGAACTGAGGGGTGGTGGAAGGGTGGGGAACATTCAAGTTCCTATGTCTGGTTGTGACTTTTGGGAAGAATTTGAGACCCCCCACAAAGGTGTATTTTTGGGCAAATGAAACCATAAACTCTGATGGCTCCTATAGATGTAAATGCTAGCTCTGGAAGGCTCTGTGGGAGGGAGTTCAGAGCCAGCTCTTTCTTGACCCTTGGTGTGTCTTTGATTTCATTTGTGCATTAATGATATTAACTTTTCAGTGAGTGGGGTGGGGGAGGGGTCCCTGGGGATAGAGCTGGGGTGGGCAGAGTTTGAATGGTCACTGTGGGAAAGGGGTAGCCCACCATGGTGGCCAGAGCTGTGTGCTGGGTTAGTGGTTCAGGGCAGTGGTCACAGTGTCTCACAAATTCTGGGCCTGTTTTGCTTGCCTGCCTGCTAGGATTGGCATGTGCCAAGGGCAGGTCCATCCTAAAGCACCTTCCATCCCGTACCACAGCGGTGACTTGTGGGAAATGTTTGGAAGTAGCTGAGGTGGGTAGGATATGCAGGTCATGATTACACCAGCCAGCAAGCTGGGGGTTCAGCCCATAAAACGGGTGTTCTCCCAGTGTTTGGATGGTCAGTTGTGAGTGTTCATCTTCAGGGAAGATTCAGACACAGGTGCCCTCAGCTGCCCAGCATGGAGGCACACCTGCCTGGGCTTGCACTTGGACTTTGAACATCAAGATCAAAGTAATGGGTGCTGTCGTCTCTCAGAACAGCCTCTCTGACTACAAGACTCCCTTGGCAACTGCCTGGGGTCTGCACATCTAAACAAGTCTCTGTGTCGGGGAGGGGTCAGCAGCCTGAAGAACCAGTGTCCACCTGTGGTCTGTTGGGTACCTACTTGCAAGACCCCTGGTTAAAGGCAACTGTAGGGGTGGTAGCCTGAAAGATTGGTCTGCGTTCATGCCCACCCCAAGCAGGAACCACTGGGGCCCTGAGGCCCAGCCCTGGAACCAGGCTGCAGCAGCTCAAGGGGTGGGCCTGGGATGGGGTGGACCCAGGATGTGCTGGGTCCCAAACTGCCTCTTCGTGCCCCACTGCTCAAGTTGCACCACTGAGGTCCTGTCACCACAGAACCTCCTGCTGGGATGGTGTCAGCTATGAGTTTTGAACTAGTGCCATCCTTGGGAGCCCTGCCCCTGAGCATCCATATTGTTGAGCACTCCCACGAGGGCAGTGGGTGGGTAGGAGAGGGGGTCTACCATGGGTTCTGAGGTCCCCATCCCCTGGTTAATTTACCAGGAGTGGCTGCCTTGTCATTTTCTTACTGCCACGGACATCTCCAGCTCAGGGCCCCAAGAAAGGCACAAACCTAGTCAGCTTGCTGGTACCTGAGGTGGAATGAATGGGCCTGGACCCTGAAGAAGGAAAGATAAGATGGTGCTTCTCCTACCTGCTCTGGAGGAATGGAGGTGTGAGTGGGGAAAGAGGAAGAGACTGTCACCTATATCTGGCTGCCCTACTGCAGCAGGGTGGGAGTGGGTGGGTTTGACTCCACCCTGGAATGGATGGATGGATAGCTTGCCCTGCATTTCCCTGCTCCTCGTATTCTAATGTTGAGTCATTTGGCAAGAGTGTATTTTAATAACTGCTGCCTAATTTCTCTGTGTTCTAAGAGGATACTGTCTAGATAAAAAAAGTCTTTTGAAATTCCATTGTGGTCCTGTGCTTTGTTTGAGCTTCAGGGTGACTCTTCCCAAGTCCAGTCCCTGGAGGGAGAGGCCAGGTGCTGTGCACCTGCAGGTGTCAAGATCCTAACCAGGAAATGTAGCTCCAGGGCCAGCACCTTAACCTTTCTTCAGACCTTTTTTACTATTAGCAGGTGAGGGAGCCCTAGAGCAGGAGTTCTGTTTGCTCTGAATCCTGTTCTCTAGTCCACAACCTGGAGACCAACCTGGAGATCTTCCCAGATCTCTGGAAAGGAGGCTTTGTCTCACCAAAGCTCCCCTTCATCCTGGTTGGGCTGAAACCACTTGGCTTCCCACCATGCACAGGTGGGAACTTACCAGGGCACAGAATGGTGAAGGTGGGGATCCTCCCTGAGGAGTGTAGCCAGTCCCTGCAGGTTGGGATGGGGACACTGGCCTTGAGTGCAGGGAGTGGCCTCAGCAGCTGGTTATTGGTGGTCTGAGGCCTCTGGCCTGTGTCTCAGCAGCCTGGCCAGGCCTTGCTTTCTGCCTGTACTTCTGATCTTTGTGGTTGAAGATCCGTCTGCCATGGAAGCAGTGTGGGTCTGTGGTGCCAGCTTTTCCCGATCTGAGGACCTAGCAGAGCTGAAGGTAACCTGAGCCTTTTGGGGGTGACAGGTGACTCGGAGCATTCCCCAAAGTCAGTGCTGTTTAAAAGTGATGACTGAAACGCCCCTTGGTAGTGTTTCATTTGCTTGCAGGGCTCGGCCCCATACTGAGTGGTTAGCCCCAAATGCTGTCCCTTAGGCCCCAGCAGAGGTGTCCTGTGAGCATCTGTAGAAAGACCTCAGGAATAATGCATGTTGGAGGCACAGGATCTGTAGTAGGCAGCCTTCCTGGGGGAGGCCTGGCCTGGAAAGGCTCAGATTACAGTTGATAGGCGAGCGCAGCCCTACATATGGTACCTGTCACCACTTCACTTGTTGTGGTCAGTGGCCTAGATTCCTTGCATTGGCTCTTGTGATCTGCCCCCCACTTACTCAGGTACCTGAGAGCTCTTTGCAGGTGTAGTCCATAGGGACCAGGAAGCTGACATCAAGGTGAAGGTGTCTATAACCTGATGTTTAAGCTGGAAAATGCAGCTGGGAGCTTTGGCCAGTTCTGGGAGACCCCTCAGGTCCCCCTATTCCTAGTGGACAGGACAGAGGGTACAGGGACATCCATCTTGTTAGAAGTTACTTGGAGCTAAGGGGTGGGCATGTTTGGTGTCTGTGTTTCTTTGGAAGTTCATGCTTCTGTTCCAGAAATGCACAAAGTATGAAGAACACACAGCAGTGACAGGCTCTGGGATGGTGGAGGGGTTAGGCCACATGGAACAGGTTGCCATGAAAGCAGAGAGGCAAGCAGGGGCTGCCTAGGGTGTGTCTGAGAAGGAATTGGGTGACAAGGTGGCAAAAATAGCTCAGGCTGCACAGGCTGGGTCCAGTGTTCTGAGGGAGGTGCTAGGAGACTTTGTGTCCTGGGCTATGAGGTACAAGTGGACAGCTGAAGGACATTTGGGCAAAGTTTCTGAAGGACAGGCCTGGCAGAGGTTACAGGGAACTAGGTTTGCCCTGTCCTTGGGATGGAAACATAGAGGGAAAGCCTAAGGGAGGAGCCTTCCCCTTCATACCCAGAACAAAGTTGGTGCACAGGCCTCAGCACCTGGCCATGCTGTTCCAGGTCCCTTGGCTGCTCCTGGCTGTCCTAGAGTCTGGCTCTTGGAGTCCCTCTGCCCCAACCCAAGATCTCTGGTCTGAGCTCCAGTTGTAGCCTAAGTATAGCCTCTTGACTGTGCAGTGGCTGCCTGATACAGTGCTAGCCCAAGTGCCTTTTGTCTGTATAACCCCTGGCAGCAGTGTGTGGTGATCATGGACACACGACTTTATGTCCAGAACAGCCAACATGTGTTAAGTAGGAGGGCTGGTGAAAGGAAAGACGCAACAGGACACTCAGGTCCTGGTCCTTGGTCTCCTTCCTACCTAGAAGCTGCCCTTCCTGGTCTCATCTTACTGGCCACTTGGGTGACTGGAGAGGTCAGAGCATTGGGACTAAAGGCCAGTTTTGGTTCCAACATCCTGGGTGGACAGCCTGGAGCCCAGAGGACTTGGAGGGGACAAGATGAAGGTGTGGGGAGAGTTGGTAGGCACTCTTGAGGGACTCAGGCCCCCATGTCACTCCACACTCACCATCAGGAGTGGGGCCGAGCTAGGTCTGGGCCAGGAAGTGGCAGGGTTCCGACACAAAGCACCCAGCTGCCCTTGAAACACTTTGTCCTGTTTTTCTTTTATTTGCAGTTTCCCGAGACAGAACAAAATAAGAATAATTTTTGTACACCTACAAGGCTCAGAAAGAAAAGACAATGAAACTCAGCAAAAAGAGGGAAGAGGGATGGCCACCAGTACTGCAGGCAGTGACCCCCTGCAGTGCTGGCCAGCGGCCGACGCCACCACCCGTGAACACCTAGCTAGCAGAACAGGAGTGATCCGCGCTTTAGAGAGGGTCATGCAAAAGAATTATCCCCCAGAAAAAAAAAGTCCCCAAATTATCCCAGACAGGCAGCTCCATGGAGATAAGGTGAGTGGAAGAGAAGGGGAGGAGGCCCCAGGACGCCAGGGTGGCCGGCCGCAGGGCCACACACTGTCCATGGTGAGCTCGGCCACTGTCTCGCAGCCTGGAGCCACTCGTGCAGAGCCTGGCGTATGTTTACCCTGTGTCCATGGATGGGGACAGCTGTCCTGGGCACAGTGTGGACAAAAGATGGTGTCCACTCTGAATGTCCATGGGTGGACAGTCCCCTTGGAGTTTAGGATCCTGTGTCCTGCCCCTCCCTTGGCTTGATTTGTGGGGGGAAATAAAGAAAATCCTTTTTGAAAACGACATGAATGGAAGGTGGGTGACACTGGGGTGAAGGCCCCTGAACCTCTGCAATCAAGGCTCCTGATTGTCCCCACCACCCAACTCAGCTTTAGAGCCACCTCCCCCGCCCAAATGTACTTGCGGTGTCCCCATCCTCTCCACAGTGCCCACCATCACGAGGGGCCAGGGCCACCCACAGCAAGCCCAGGCAGTCCATGTCTGGAAGCACCACGGGCCCCTGGAGGCAGCACAATGTCCCCATGAACTCTCTGTCACCTGCTGGTGTCTGGGCCCCACACCCATACATCTCTGTCCCAGCCTTTCTCCCCGGGCTATGTCCCTGGCCCACCTGGAAGGGCCTCACACACTGCAGCCCCACCTATCCTTGGCTTCCCATGGGCCCCTGGCTGGCTTGTGCTGTGGCTTTTGCTCCAGGCCCAATTATGTGTTCCAACCTCAGCTGATACTTGCCCAGGAGCCCAGCACCCTGACTTCTCACCCCTTTTTGCCACTTACTGTTTTACTCAACCACTCCCTGAACCCCAGCCTCCAAGCTCCACAGGCAAATACCCTAGATGTAACCTGGCCTACTCCCACCATCCTTTGGGCACACAAGGCCCACAGTCCTTCATAGGGTCTGCTCTCAGCTGCACAGGGAGGAGCTTCCCAGGCCAGGGGGAAGGCCACTGTTGCTCTGTTGCTGTCTGGCAGGGAAGGGACAGGCACTCCAAAAAGGAAGGAGGCCAGTCTGGCTGAATCCCCTCTCCATGGCTGGACTGGTCAAAGCTGCGTCCAAATGTCCTCATCTTAGCTGACTCTTGCTAGGCACGAGGCCCGGAGACAAGTTGTGCCCCTTCACACCTCACTCCCAAAGAACCAGAGCCAGAGCCCAGGGCCCTTGGGGGCTTCTCTGATGGCCTTGGGAGCTGGCCATCTCTTGCACACTCCAGGGGGCGAGGGGCCATCCATGCTGAATGATGGGTCCTCAGCAAGGGGGAGCCCATGCCCAGTCCTTCACAGGGAAGAGGGAGGGAAGGAAAGCAGGAAGAGCAGCAACTTTCAGGCACAACTAGCAGGAAAGGAGGTGGCCCCACAGCCCTCCCCAAGACACCTGACGCCAGGTGAGCACACGCAGGGCCCATGCGTTGCGTTGGTGGGAGATGCAGACGCCTGAGGTGTGGGGTGGGTGCGATACCTACAGACTAACACCGTTCAGCACGCAAATGGGGGCCTGGTGGGCATGTTCATGCCCCGAGGGTCCCCCAAGGCCAGGAGTGCAATGGACACACATAGAGCTTGGGTGTGTGTGGGGGGGAGGTAAGCCTCCCCCACCCCAATACCAGATTTGTACAGCTTTTTCCTTTCTTAAGTTTTTTTTTCTTTCCCATTTCATCCTATGTCAATTTGTGTGTGTGTGTGTGTGTGTGTGTGTGTGTGTGTGTTGTCATTGTCGTCATCTTATTTTTTTAAAACAAATCACATCTGGTCTTGTTTTTCTGCAGACACAGGCACCGGGGGAGGGAACGAGGCAGACACAAACATGCGACAGGCAGGCCGTGCGCCCGAGGGCGGCTGGGCTCCAAACACCAACTCTGTCCGGCGAAACCAGGCGCAGCTCTGAAACAAGGGGCAGGTCACCTTCTTCGGCAGGTCACCCTGACCCTGGAGGACCAACGCTTTGCCATCCGCCCCCACTAGGAGTGAGCAAGGTAAGGTCCAGGAAGGGCCTTGCCTGCCTGAAGAGGGCTCAGGCACTAGACCTAACTGCTACCTGAGCGTTGGCCCCTCACCTACCACCTGTGGTACCCCCACCTTGGGTGCTAACAATTCTGATGCAGCCGTCATCCACCAAGCTCTGGCCTGCACAGCTGCTCAGGCCTCCTGAGCCCCTATCCCTCTGGGCATGCCCCCACCCACACTGGCCGCCACTGTCCCCAGGGAACTCACCTCACTGCAGTGGGGCCACGGGTGCACCCGAGCAGTGGAAGTGTACGTTCTGCCACTTGCCATCACGGCGGTGCCACACACGTGTCTCTTCGGACTGGCTGGTACGGGGCCGGCCCTGCCCATCGATGTACTGTGTGAGGCGGATGTAGGCAATGCAGGCTGCGTCCTCACCGATGACGTGCACGTGTGGGTTTAGGATGGTCGTGTGGATGGGCTTGCTGTTCTTAGCCAGCACTGTGGACGGGCAGGGGGCTGGGCACTGCGGACACCCATCTACCCATTCACGTGCCCCCCGCAGTCCACCCAGTGCCCAGCCCCCTGCCCACCCACCTTGGCTCCCCTTCTTGGAGAGCGCAGGGTTGCATGATTCTGTGTTTGGTCACAGCCCTGCCCCTGACTGAGGGCGAAGGGGTTCTCCTGAGGGTGTCCACCCCTCACGCCTGCCCCCAACTTCCTCACTCACGGTTCTCAAAGTAGAATCTGTGGAAGTCCATTCCTTCAACCAGGTTGCCCAGGGCTTCGGGCTCAAAAGAGGTCAGTCCTGGGTCACAGATTTTCCTGAGGGAGGCAAACCCAGGTGAGGAGGGGCCCCATCCTCTGTCTCTGTCCTTCACAGCCCCGACCCAAGCCCTGGAGACTCACGCATAGGCCTCGAAGTCACCGTTGTTGACAGCCTCAATAAGTTGCTCTGTGGTCTTGATGATCTCCTGCTTCCGGGCTGTAGGGAGACATGGCCGTGACCACTGGGCTCTGGCCTGTCCCACCCTTCGACAACCCCCATCACAGCCCAGCTGAAGGGCCTGGCTAGAGTTCTAGCTGTACATGCTGTCCACAAAGCCTCCCGCCCTGGCTTTCCTTAGAAAGGACTCCCAGGCCCTGGCACCTGTACCCAAATTGTCCCAATCACACTGCTGCCTCCATGGTCACCATTGGCTTCCTCAGTTCCAACTACAACAGTGCCTATCTTGGGTTTTTTGTTGTGTGTTGTTTTGTTTGGTTTTGATGGTACTGGGGCTTGAACTCAGGGCCTAGAGTTTGCTAGGCAGGTGCTCTACCGCTTGAACCATTCTGCCAGCCCTTTTTGTGTTGGTTATTTTTTGGTTAATTTTTAGATAAGGGTCTTACTTTATGCCCAGGCTGGCATGGACCATCATTCTCCAATTTGCGTTTCCCAGAGTAGCCTGGATGACAGGCATGTACCACCACACCCAGCCATTGGTTGAGATGGGGTCTTGTGAACTTTTTGCCTGGGCTGGCCTCCTGAGTGGCTAGGATTACAGGCTTAAGCCACTGTGCCTGGCTTATCTTGTTTTTCTTAAATAAAATGTTTTCAAGTGACAGAAATATTCCATCCATGTTACAAAATGTCTGGAAAATGCAGAAAGGGGGAAAAAAACCGCCCATAATCCACCCCACAGTCACCCTCCTGCATCACCCTCCTGACCCCACTCCTGGGCTTCCCTGCAGTGCATGCCCCTGACCTGCCGCCTGCTCCCTCCTCCACCTGTGTCTTATTCACTTAATGCTTCCTTCCCCCAACAACTTTGGTGAGCGCTTCTAATGCAGGCAGTGGGCAAAGGAGAGCTGGCAGAAGGCTCAGGCAGGAGCTGCAGTGTCCCCTGGAGCATGTGGGGAGGCTTTTGGGCAAAGGCCAAGGGGCAAGATGGCTCAGGGCTCTGCACACACCCTCTTCCGTTCCTCTCAACCTGCTTGTAGTTCTGGTCCATGTACTGCCTCTAGAGACCCTCCCACCCCAACTCCCAGGCCCAATGCCTCTCCTGAGTGCTAGCCTCTGGCTTTTAGATAGGCTCCGTGGCCTCCAGGGCACCTGCTGGAAGCTCCCTTTGCTGCTTTAATTACAATTAATTTTAATCATAAAGAATTGTAGGGCTGGACGTAGTGGTTCAAACCTGTAATCCCAGCTACTCAGGAGGCAAAGGCAAGAGGACCTCAAACTCAAGGCCAGTCCAGGCAAAGGCAGTAAGATAATGTCTCAAAAACAAAGTTCAAACAAAAGTGCTGGGGTAGAGTACCCGCCCAGCATGAGCAAAACCCTGGGTTCAATTCCTAGTACTGAAAAAAATAATTAAATGTGGAAGCAGGGAGAATAATATTATACACATTACTGTCTCTCCAGCACTTCTAGGCTGTCTGGGTGCTCACCTCACTGGGTGCTCCTCCTGGGAGGGGGACTGAATCCACAGCAGAGAAGCCAACTGCTGCATGGGGGCCTGGGTGGGCCTTGTGTGTGCCAGTATGAGGGCTTCTGTGTTTCCTGGGAACATGTGAGCTGTACTCCCTCTGAGGCCCTGCAGAACCTAGGCAGTGACAGCAGGGTTTCTTGATGGCACACATGTGCTCATGCATGCAGACACGCACATGTACCTGTGCGTGAGTGCGTGGACGTAGTGGTCATACAAGCAATGTGTGTGTGTGTGTGTGTGTGTGTGTGTGTGTGTGCAGGACGTTTAAGAGCACACATGTTGCGTGGGAATGCACACACGTGGACACAGGTATGTGTGGGTGCATGCGCACATTTGTACACAAGTGCATACACGTGTTCTCATGGGCTGCCCATTTGCAAATGCCCTCTCTCCTAACCCAGGTGTGTTTCTGCTACCGTCCTGTTTTGGTTTCTTGCTTCACCTTGTAAGTGTCATGGTGCACACTCAGGGCAGTCTCACCACCAGTGCCCACTCCCCCACCCGGCATGGTCAAGCCTGCATAGCTGGCCTCTATGAGGGCGGGCAGTGAGGTCCAGAAGCCCCTTCCCCTCCAGTTCCTGCTCCCAGCCCTACGTCTCTGTGCTCAGCTTAGGAGAGTAGCAAACATATAATGGCTATTCCTGGCCTTACCCTGGGGACCCTGACACGTAAGTCTCCAGGGCAGCACCTGTCCCTCCCAGCTGCAAAAATACTCCCCTGACATCCCGCACCCTTCTTTCTTATCCTTTCTGGAGGTGGCTCCGGGCTTCAGACCTGATCTCTCTGCACCTGCCACTAGCTCCTTCCCCAGCCCCCAGAACCAGGCCCTACCGGGCTCTCCCTCTGTCTTCCACACGTCCCAAGCACCCCGACATTTATTAATTCCCCCCTGTTCACAGAGGGATGAGCTGCATCCCCCTCCACAGGAGGCCCTCAGCACACAGCGGAAGTGGCTATGGCATTACTGTTTTGATTCCAGCTGTGACTCTATAGTCACCCTACATTGTGGTAAAAAGAACTAATCTCTCATGTAATGAAGTAATGTTGTTTTCAAGCAAACTGTAATTAAAAACGCGAGTCAGTGTGAAGAGAAAGGGTTAAGTAAACACAGAGAATGTCTGATCACAGCACCAGTCAGAGGCGGCAGCTTGGGAAATAGGGTCCTTTGGGAGAGCTGAACTCCCATTCTACAAATAGGGAAGCTGAGGTTGCTGAGTGGGGCCCAGAAACCTCCTGATATGCAGAATGGCTGCTGCCAGACCTCAGCAGAAATTGACCCAGGAGGAAGGTTATCAAGGAGCCTAACATGAAGGGACATGTCCAGGTGGTTAAGCCTGTAGCTTGTGGCAAGCTGCCCTCATATGAGGGAAAAAGCTGAAGTAGTGGGCAAGATTTGGCGTGGAGGTTTTCCCTGGGCCCAGTGTGGATGGGGGACCCTCCCTGCCTGCAGATCCCCAGGGAGGCCCCACACATCTAGACGGGGCCATCCTCCCCCACCTTACTGCTGGCCCAAAGTCCCCACTGTTGGAGCCAGCAGAGGCTGCCAGAGGCAGGCCAGCTGCCCAGGGATCAGCCTGGATGAGCCTGGATCTTGTTCGTAATCCCCGATTAGGGAGTAAGGCCTGGGGTGCAGGGAGCAACAGCAGGGACGGGACTGGCCTCAAGAGAGCTGGTGGGCACCTGCTCCATCACACAGTAAGATAGCTAACTGGTGGGCACCTTCCCAAAAAAGGGAAGGACCTGTGAAGCCAGCTACCTGAGGTCCTCCTCCTTATCCAAAGTCCGACTGAATGTCTTTGCTCTCTGCCTAGCCTTACCCAGCCTCTCCCAGGATGCCCTGCTCACAGCCCCCTTTGTGCAGCCCCACCTCCCCCAGCCAAGCTCAGGACAGACCCTAAACAGGCAGGTCTGTGCCATGGCCCCTAAAGTAACCCGGCAATTCAGTGTCCTCCACAGGCCCTGCCCTAGAGCACTCACCAGGCTACTGCACAGACCCCCCAGGGCAGGCCATGCTCAGGGCTTGCCCTCCACGGGGTGGTGGGCCCCTAAAATCAGATGCTGCAGAAATGGGGGTGCTGACACTCTCATGTCCACTTTGCACCCACCAGCCACACAACCCCCTCCCTGGGCCTCCCTTGTGAGCTCTGACTGCTGTCCGCTCCCTGCCTGCCCCCATCATTGCAAGGACCTGGTCTCCCACCGCAGCACTTCACCTCAGTCCATTCAGCTGACCATGGAACACTCTGGGGGGTTATCTCCCCACCAGGATGCTCTATGCCCACTTCTTCTCTGCCCTGATCATCTGCAGCCCCCCAGACCTAGCCTGCAGAGGAGATGGGGTGGGTCACTGCAGGTCCCACCTGTCACAGGTACTCACCAAGCCACTGCCCCGCCATGCCGAGCCCCTGGCCCAGCAGCCTGTCCTCTGAGAGCATCTCAGCACCACCCCTAGCCCTGTGTCTCCCTGGAGGCGGGGGCAGTGGTGGCTGCAGCCCTGGGATGTCATCCATCCCTGTAAGTGATACTGGCGGGCAGTCGGCAGACAAGCTGGGGAGGCCACCCCGCCTGCGCCTGTCTCTCCCTCCCGCCCTTGTCTCTGGCTGCCCCCCAAATCTGCTCCCTGATGTCTAGCCGGGCAGCCAGCATGCCAGAATGCCTCAGGGCCCGGGCCTGCATTTCTTTTCCTGTCATACTGTCCTTGCAGGTTTACCCTCCTCTGAGTGGCCCTGTCCCAACGGTGGGCCTGTGTTACAAGGGTGCCTGCCCACTCTGGTCTCCCATCAGAAGAAAGCTGTGGCTACAGGGAAACAAGTGCTCCAGACACAAAATCTGCCACTCTGGATGCTCTTGCTACACAGGAATGTACACACACACACACACACACACACACACACACCCCATGACCATAATCTGCATTTTCTTCACGTGCTTTGATATAATTCCCATGACCCAGAAGCAGACCCTGTGTCTCCCACACGGTGGGGTCCACCTCCTGTGAGCCCCTCCAAGGACCACTGAAGGTACTACTTACATGGGGTGCTCAGGGGGCCGGGGAGAGTCGGAGATGGGCAGGGTGGGGGTCCCACTGGCAGGGGGCCCTCGGCTTCTGGAGTCCCTGAGCCCCTCCTCACTGAGTTGAGAATGTCAGTGATCCTGGGGGCTGGGGTGGAACAGACAGACATGAACACGGGTGGGGCAGGGGTGGGGGGGCATTCAGGAAAGAAACCTACAGGCTGAGAGCCAAGCTGGGCGGGGGGCAGGGGGACAGAGGGGAACATGAGGGATGGAAGGGAAACATAGGGATGTAGGGAGACCTAGGGGGGAAACGGGATGTGGAAGGAGGCACAAGGAGGAACACAGATGCCTTTGTCTGTCCAGGTGGGCTGAGCTGGAAGCTGTTGTGGGCAGAGGCTGCCCTCCAAGGAGAGGCAACCTGGCCCACAGGAAGCCAGAGGACAAGGCCGCATGTAACTGGCCCTTGGGAAGTGTGTGACAGGTGAGTAAAAGGAATGGATGAGGGAGAGAAATGATGTCAAGAGGAAGCATGATTCTGACCCATGTGGACACAGTGCAGGCCAAAGGAAGGCCAGGCCTCTTCTCCATACTGTGTCCTTGTCCATGAAGCCCTAGCTGAAGTTCCCATTCCAGCATTTTCCTCGGCCCTGGCCCCACCCCCCCAACTAAGGAGTGGTGCTAGGGTGAGGGGCACATCAGGAGCCAGGGGCAATGCTGGAGCAGGCTCCTAGGCACTGTGACCAGGGCAGGATAGGCTGGGCATGAAGTCAGTGATGCTAGAAAATTCTCCACAGAGAGGGTCTGAGGGGGACCTAGGAGGGACAGCCCACTGCCCAAAAATGGGACAGATCCTCTGAGGGAGAGGCCTGGAGCTGATAGTGGGGAGGGCGGCGTGCAGGAAGGGAGTGAGGGTGAGAGATGAGCAGAAGGGACTGGGCCCTGAAGGGAGAAGCCAGGTACTGCCCTGCTGAGTTAGCGCGTGTGCCCCAAGGAAGCCCAGTCAGGCTTGGATGCCATGGGTATCCTGGCCTCGGGGACCTGGGCCGTGCACAGCAGGTGCAGGAAGCTGAGCTCTGGCCATTCACAGGGAGCCCTTGGCAGCAGAGGCAGCAGGCCTGGGGGCCACTACTTACACGGGGCAGACAGGGGGCCTAGGAGACCCGAAGACAGGCAGGGCGGGGGCCCCACTGATAGAGGGCCCTCGGCTTCTGGGGTTCCTGAGCCCCTTCTCACCGAGTTCAGGATGTCAGAGATCCTGGGGGCTGGGTGGAACAGACAGACATGAACACGAGGCAGACAGACATATGAGGAGATGACAGAGCCGAGAGGAAGGAGGGAGGAAGTGGGGCCCTGTTCTCATCCCAAGTTTCCCCATCTGGGGCCTATCTCAGGACCAAGAAGCCCCTGGGGGAGAGGGGTAGAGAGAGGCCTGGGTGGGCCCTGGAGACCATGGGGTCAAGGCCTGATTCTTCAGGACTGTCCAGTGGCCATGAGCAGGAAGGTGGGCCAGGGCAGCCTCCCCACAGGCCAGCAGAGGGCTCTGGCCAGGGTGTACATAGAGGTGGTACTCATTGGACAGAGGCAGCCATAGGGAGTCCCACTGTGGGGACTATGGTGAGGACTGGGCTAGAGCCAGCAGTCCAAGCTCAGAATCTCCCTTGGTTTGAATGTCCCCTCAGACAAGTTTGCCAGGCCCTTCAAAGTGTCCCCACAGCAGCAGGGCCCAGGCTACTTACACGGGGCTGGCAAGGGGCTAATGGGAGCTGGAGATGGGCAGGGCAGAGGCCCTTCGGCTTCAGGGGCTCCTGAGCCCCTCCTCACCAAGCTCAGGACATCAGGGACCCTGGGGACTGGGGCAAAACAGAGGCAGGTGGATGGGCCACAGGCACTTGGGAGAGAAGGTGGCAGGACCCGTGCAGGGCCAGAATGGGGAGGAAGGAGAACCCCAGACCACTTATAGGAAGCTTGGGAGACAGAGGTGGGGAAAGTCACCCCTGAGGCTCATTTGGTGGCCACTAGCTAGGGCCTCTAGTGGCCAGGCCAGGAAATGGGAGTGACAGTCGTCACAGCAAATGATGGCCACTGGGTCAGCCCTGGCTGTGTACTAGTTGTGGCCTGGCAGAGGGGAGGGGTGTCTCTCTAGTACTACAAAGCTGAGCTGAGGGGTTGCTCTTCCGTCCCGTCCCGAGGCCTGACCTACCTCAGCTCCACCTCTGCCCTGACCTCCCCTGGCCCCCTGAAGGCCTGAGGCCCAACCACTCCCTCACGCTCCGTGTCACTCTGGCCAGGCTGAGGAAAGAACCCTGAACCGGGAGGGATGGGTGGCCTTCATGGGGCCTGTTTCAGTCTGTGGGGGAAATATACACACATCAGCTCTCCCCTGTTCAGGGCCCAAAGCCCTGTTCTCACCTCTGCTCTGAAGTATGGAGGACACCCAGGGGTAGCATCGTAGCTGGTAGGGTGGGTAGGAGCAGAGAGGAAACCCCACCCATCTGACACCCCATAGGCAGCTAAGGGCCTATGTATGCAAGGGGCAGCCTGGAGGCATCAGACCCCATCCTGGGGAGGCAGAAAAAGTGGGAGAAAGGCTGGGTACTCACTGGTGCCAGGTACTCTGGGGTCTTTTGGGGGAACACACAAAACCACTGGCCAGGCTCAGTGTGGGGAGTGCCCCCCCCCCCGGAGTATGGCAAAGAAGCCCATAGCACAAGGGGCTCCTGAATCAGCAAAGAAAATACCGAAACGCCATTTGGCCTCCCGACCACTCATCGTGTGCAAGCTGCATGGAACTTGAAGCTTAAGGAACTTAAAGAACAGAACAACATCTTGAGCAAATTCTACCCACACACTTGGTCCCCCATAGAAACTGATCTGGCCCCTGGAACAACAGAGAACCAGCCCCAGTGCCGGGCCCTGGCTTCCTCACTTGGACACTGTGTTTCAGACACACTCTGGCCAGGCTGGGCAGGCCTGGACATCAGGCCCCTCAGCCATTGCACACACAGCCCATGAAACAGGATACAGACCCTGGGAGGCCCACCCACCCCGAAGAGCAGCCCAGCAAGGCCAGGAAAGGCCTCCATGCAGGTACCTTTGGCATCTTCATCCTCTATGGTTGTGTTAGTGCTGTCGGAAGACTCCTGAGGAAACAGAAGAGGTGTGGTTCAGAATGTGGTCAAAGACAGATAGGAGGCAGATGACAGCAGGAACCAGCCCAGACTCTGAGTCAGACCTCAGTCTGGCCACTCCACAGGGACTCAGGGTGCCTGGGTCCCATCCCTGAAATCCTCAGGGAGCAGTGACTGGAGAAGGCTCCCCACTTTGTGTGGGTTCCTAGGAGAGCATCCTCCTCCTTTCCCCAGGGCTCATTCTGTCCCCTGCAGGCTGCGTCCACCCACTTCCCCAACAGCAAAGGCCTCAACTTCACCTTCCCCAGTGAGACCCTAGGACACTCAGCTGACTAACAAGAGAAAACTGGCTTTTTGAAACTCCAAGACCTGAAACACACAGGATTTGGGTGCTGTAGAAGGCCCTGGAAGCCTATGCACTCAGCAGACAAGGTGAGCAGCTTTCAGATGTGTGATCCCTTCTCCCAAAAATGGTGAGCCACCCCCCCATAGCCACATGCCCCTCCCAGGCCTGTCCCAGGGAGACACTGTCAGCCAGGGACAGCCCCTGCCATCCTGTCTTCCGTGTTCTCAGAAGGCCTGAGAAGCAGAGGGAACATCACAGGTCTCTGTGGGACCACTCTCCAGCACGGATACTGCAAGGTCTCTGCTCTGGGCCACAACTGGGGGTCTTCAAGTGTGGAGTCAGGGTTTATCCCAGCTCAGAAGTCTCTCATAGGGAAACATGACCCCACTCCAGGCTCACAGGACCCAAGGGACACTCGCCACTCAGGTGGGAGGAAGCTAGACCTTTGGTGCCGAGCCCTGGGGTTGCCAAAGCTCCCTAATCCTGCCACGGAGAATGGCCTGGGTTTTGGCAGAAGGATATAGAGGTCCCCACAGAGGCACTTTGGAGGCTTGTCAGGGAGCCCAGGCCCAGGTGTGACTTGACTGCTGTACTGGAAATGGCTTAGCCTCCTGCCTGTCCCTCCCACCACACAGAGAGCCAGCCCCTCCCCTGCCCCAGGAGATGACGCCAGTGTGATGGGAGCGGATGGCAGAGCACAGAAGAGCAGGGGGTGGGGGTCTGCTTGGCAGAGGTGCCGCTGGGGCCACGCCAGGGAGCAGGAGGCATAGGGTAGCCAGAGGGGCGAGGATGGAAGTTCCTGAGATGTAGACTGGCCCCAGCATCTGGGGCCCAGACCCACAGCCTGGTGGGAGGGAGCTGGTCATGTGGTGATATGCGTGGCTGTGTGAACCCTCTTTTACTGAGTCATTGTGTCCCCTGGGCAGTTTTTGTGAACTCTGCCTGCCTTGAGGGACAGGCCACTGCACACCTGCCCTCCACTCTGGGCACAAAGGCTTCTCCAGGTCACCGTCCACACCCTCCTCCTGGGCCCACACCTCCTGCCCGAGGAAAGGGTGAGGAGTGGGGCGGTGGCAGTACCTTAATCCCGTCCACTGGGTTATGGATAACGGTGGTTTGAGGCTCCTACAGAAGGCAGCAGACAGAGGAAGGAAAGAGAGGGAGAGTGAGAAAGAAGGAAGCAGAGGACAGGGTGAGCCAGGGAGACAGAGGAGTGGGTGGTGGCCAGAGTCCACCCAAAGAGAGTGCAGAGCAGAGGGACAGGGATGGAGACGCAGGTGGTCAGCAAGATGGCCCAATAGGAATGGAGGCAGCAGGCAGTCAGCGATGGCCCTGAGTGGAAGAGCAGGCTGGAGTCGGACTAATATGGCAGAACCCATGGACCTTCCCAGACTGAAGATGGGGACCAACAGCAGTTGCATATGTGTGGGGGCTCTGCCTTGGGGAGTTCTCCCCACCCTTTGCTGCCTGCCCTTCTGCCCCAGCATGGTGGGGCATAGGCTTGAAGATGTCACAGGGGTGGGGGTGGCACGTGGGATGGATGGGGTCTGAGGGAGGGCTGGCTGTGAGGCCGGCTCGTGGACCCTCACTGCTGGGAGGTGTTGCGTTAGCTGGCACATGGCACTCTCCTGCCATGGCCTGGCTGCTCTGGGCAGCTCCTCCACAGGACAGCTTTCCCTTCCTGGGAGGTTCCCCCCAAGCTCAGAAGAGCCATTTGGCCAAGCTAGCCTTCTAGTCTTGGGCTGTCTCCCCAGAAGCCCCTCCTGGAACCCACAGAGGTTACCAAACATACTTCTAGCAAATTCCAACTCCTCAGGGCAGCCCAGGTACAAGGTGCTCCAGCAAGAGCTGGGGCCCACCAGCCACAACCGCAACCCTTCTAGAAACATCAGCTGTGATGTCTACCTGCACAGGAGCCTCCAGGGCAAGGGGGCCAGAGCTGGCAATGTGCCCTGTTGAGCAAGGCACTGTGGCTACCCTCACCCGTCCTCAGCAGGGAGCTCCTAGGCCTCCCGGGATAGCACCCACAGACCAGCAGGTGTCCTGGTTGTGACAGCAACACTTACAGATGGACACACCCAGCCTGGCTGCTTTACTGGACACCTCCCCACCACACCTGGAAAGGCTTCTCCTGCTTCCTCCGGGACCCACTGTTCACCAGTGCAGGCTGCAACCTCTGCAGAGCCCAGCCTCACCCCCTGTAAGATGGGTCAGCCTGTAGAAGGTGGGAGTCCCCAGGGTGATGGGGACTTGGGGCAGTCCCCTTGTTTTCTGCCTCACAGGCCTCTTGCTGAAGCTTCTAGCAGGGGAATGGCCCCAAGTCAGTAAAAGTGGGAGACCAGGCCTCTCCCCTGCATCTTGAAGAAGGCCTCCCCCAGAAGCCCTGCACCTGCCTGAGCCTGACAATCCCAGACAGTGGCATTTCCTCCCCTTCCATGCCACTCCATTCCATGTCCATGTGGGATTGGTGGTGGCAGCTGTGTGTCTTCAGAGACAGGCAGGGTCAGGCCAGACCCCACCTCATGGGACTTCTCTGACAATAAGGTGTGGGAGAGGCAGGGGCTACAGAGTTCAGTACCAGGGCAGCAGGAGGAAGCGATCCTTTGGGGCTGGTGATGGCCGAACTGTTTTTGGTGCTGTTTGTCTGGGGCTATGAAGAGAGAGAAGACAGTATTAGGGGGAGAAGGGACACCCATTTCCCCTCCCAGAGCTAAGGTGGCACCTCACCTTGACTCCATCTGCTTTCTTGTTGAGCAAACTCTTGGCTGCTGTATAGGGAGGGAAGGAGGCATAGTGAGTGCTGGGGGCCTGGGACCCCCTGCAGCCCTTGTCCCCCTCCCCCACTTCCCCAGGAAAGAAACTCAGGACCCAAGGCAGGTATGGCCTTGGTCCCCAGGCTGTCCTTGAGCAGCAGCAGAACCTCCAGAGAGGGCTGGGCCAGGACGCCCAGGGACCCTTGCTCCAGGAGGGACCCTCCCCCGGCATCCTCCTTGACCCTGGGCTCCCAGGAGCCTTCCAACCCGGTACCCCTTGGCTCCCAAAAGGAAGACAGGATGCCAACCACCTCTGGGGATCACATCAGGTCGGGGGAGTGGGTAGTTGAGCAGGGAGGAAAAATCATGCCTGCTGTGCCCTCCACCATTCTCTGTGGAGAATAGGCTGCAGACGGCTGTCTACACCAAGGAGGTCTGTCCCAGCCCCAGTACCTGCCGTGCTCTCAGCCCCGCCTCCCTCCTTCACCAGGGCCAAACAGCTTGGCCTCACTGTTCTCCCCTTGAGCTTTCCCAGCAGCCCTGGCCATGGGGCCACTTCTTGCTGGCTCCTTTGCCCATAAGCCCTGGTAGACACTCAAGCCTGACAGATGGTCTCCTTGATCCCAACACCCCCTCAGAGGTCAGGGTGGGCCTGGATCTGCCCTGTCTTCCTCTCCCAGCACCTACACCCTCCATAGCAGAGATAAGAATTTTAATTACAGAACTTAAAAAGGAAAAAAAAAAAGAAGAAGTCAGCTTACCTTACAGAAAAGGAAAGGTGAGGAAGGAAGGGAATAAGAAAGAAAGAGAAGAAGAGAGAGAAAACAAGATTTGTGTCGGTCCAGGCAGCCCGTACACAGGGCAGCAAAGCCAGTCCGTCCTGGCCAGCGCTCCCCAAGAAGAGCCAAATGGCCGTGCGGCTGGAACAGCAGGGTTAGAGAAGCAGCCAGGGGTGGCACAGCATAAGGGGCATGGGGTCCCCTTGCCCCCGAACCTAGAGAGGAAGGAGGTGGTACAGCTCCCTATCTGCCTGGTCTGACTGGCTGGGCCCTGGTTGGCCATACCTGACATCAGGCTCTCCTGCCTACTAGAGGGGAACCTGTGCTGCCCGTGGCAGGCCTGAGTGGAGACATGGGGACAGGTACACTTAGACTAGGGCTGTGGCATTCTCGATCGCCCCCCTCAGTAGTAGCAGCAACAGTGTCATCCTGCAAAATCAGAAGTGCAAATTCCCAGGCCACCTCTCCCTCCTGAGTCGGAACCCTAAGGTGGGGGCTGGTGAGGAGGGCGGGGGTGCAGGGAATGGTGTCAGCATCTATCCATAGGCCCAAGAGTAGTTCTGACACCTGGTCTTCTTGTGCTACATTTCATTTCAGAGACCAGGCCACTGCTTATTGACCACCTTCCTCCCTGGCCAGCAGACCACGACAGGTCCTGCCAATGGGGGTGGGGGCATGAGACCATGGCTGCCTGACAGCTACACACTGTCTTGGGATCCTGCAAGTCACATGGACCAGTGCTGTGGTGGGCACATGGTTTCTGTTCCCAGCCTCCTGTCTCAGGATCCGTTAACTCTAAAAGTTCTGTATGAAACCCAGGGATCCCTACAAGATCCATGGACCAGAAACCCAACTCCTGGTCTCTGTCCTATGCATTTCATCCTTCTAAGACCTGAGGTCCCTGGTGAAGATGCAGGGACCACCTCCCTGTCACCCCAGGGCAGTCCTGCCAGGTGGGTTCCCACCTATTGTGCAGACTGTGAAACACAGGCCCTCAGTCCGGCTGAACTCTGGCCAGACTACTCCTGGCCAAGCACAGCTTCCACCACTTCCTGTGGTCCCAGCCCTCTCTCTCCTCCCTCCCCATCTCTCACACACACTTCATCCTCAGAGACATCTGCCCAGCACCAAGAACCTGGGCCAACCCTGGTACAGGAGCCAGGCCCTGTACTGCTGAGGCTGTGGCTTGCAGAATCTCTCAGTTGGGGAACAGGCTTGTCCCTGGGGCCCAAGGAAGGCAACACTCAGCCCAGCCCTTCTTGAGACACCTGTCGTGGGTGACTGAGCAGCAAGGGAGGGACCTCTACCCCTCTAGGAACACAGATTTCAAAGGTGGCAGTTTTAATGAGCTGTTAGCAGAAGGCTGGCCTGACCCTGCGCACATCAAGCTGGGTTCAGAAGTGGAACCAATACAGGCCAGTATTAGTCGGAGACAGTCTATTTGGCATGGTCCCCTCCCACCTTCCCCCTCAGACATCCTGAGGATCCTCACAGGAAAGGAAGCACTGGGTCCCCCAGTCTATCAAAACCCACATTTCCAAGCTGCACTACTAGAGATGTTAACAGTTATCCACAGGACGTCAAAGGACAGAGTTAAGTCAGGGGTGCGTGTGCCTCTGAGAGTAGGCCATGACTGTGGCCCAGGCCTGGGAAGCCCTGGCCTGTGTTTTGACAGCAGCTCTTGGGCAAGTATTGGGCACTGTGAGACATGGCTCTTGACCATCTGTTTCCTCGACTTCTTTCTCCAAGAGTCTTGTGTGTCCTGAACTAACAACAGACTTGTTGTGGCCAGGAGCCTCTCCTTTCACATACACCAAGTTCAAAGGCAGATAAACCTTCAGGATGCTCAAGTTAAAAGCATTTATGAGTGCAGCCGGAGCCAAAGGGTGGACGGAACAGCCACGGGATCCCAGACACCTAAGCTGGGGGTGGGAGGGGACCTGCAGGCCTGTGCCGGACCCTGATAGCCATGGGTTTCCTTAGATCTCCTATCTGTTCAGTTTGAAAGGGACTGTGAAAGCCTAAGTGTAACATGCTGCATACAGCAAGGGTCTCCCTGCTGGCTGAGGTTGCCTGCTGTCCCACCAGAATGTCTGACAGACACAAGGAGACCCCTGACCCATGTGCGGCTGGGTAGGTGGGACCCTCAGCCCCACCTCTGCCTCACCCCCTAGCTGGTTACCCTGGCAGCCATGCTGGGCTCCGTCCACATGCACTGACCACCCTCCAGGAAACATTGGCCCTTGACACCCAGGGCAGAGCCACACATGCAGGTGGCTTCATGCACCGTGGCTCCTCACTCACTTGCAGGCAGGCGGGCATGGCAGCAGGAGCCCCAGGCAGAGCATGGCTCAGAGGTGGCCTGTCTCATGCCACTGTCCCCTGGGCAGCGGGGCCTCCCCAGGAGCCACAAGTTTTCATGTTTTTCTAACCAAGTCTCTCCCTCCCCCATGGGCTTCAGTTGAAAAAGGCTGTAAATGTGGACTTGGGACTGTTCACTGGGCCCCTGTGGGGAGCACAGACCCCTCCCAGGATGGCCTAGGCATCCCGCGGAAAGGTTCTCTGTTTTCTGTCTGTCCGTGAAAGCTTCGCTGTGGCCCTGGGAAGTTGTGAGGTGGAGCCAGGTGGGTGTACAGGAAGGGTGGCGCCTTGGAAGGGCGGTGCCCACACTCTGGAACCTGCCCCTGTCCCCAGCTGACCCTGGAGGCTCCACAGGAAACTGAAGTTTGGCCAGTGAGGGGCTTGGGTTGGCTCTGTACACTTGGTGGTGGTCATCTGCATGCCAGCCCTCAGTCTGGGTGGTGACTGTGGGGCCCACGAGGAGGTCCCAGGGGGTCTGTCCCCCAGCTCCTGATGGAGCAGGGCCCCCAGAAGCAGGTCGGCAGAGCCGCCTCTTCCCTCACAGGGTTTGGGACCAGGTGAGAAGGGTTTCTAGAAATAACTCAAGAGAAGGCCTTTGGCGTCTCCTCAGCACTGAGGCCACCTCCACTCTTGCTCTGGGGCAGGCATGTCTGGGGGACCTCTGCAGCACAGACCACCAGCTCCTCCTGCCCCAAAGGAGGGACCCACTTTGGGCCCCATGCTCCTTTGGAGCAATATCCCTACCTCCCTGCCCCCAGGGCATCCCTTCCAGATTCAGACCACATTACCCGCCCCCCCAGTGGCAGGCCCAGTGGCTCCCTGTGAAGTCAAGGTCATTCTGAATGGAGGTCTCCAGACTCCAGAGGATCTCAGCCAAATATGTCCTGAGGGCTTGACATGACCAGGGCTCACCAAGCCAGCACCTCCTCTTATAAATGACAAGACAGGTCGGGGGGCTGCCTTCCTGCCCTTGGGTGGGGCTCTTCTGGAATGTGACCACAGCGGGAGCAGGGCTCCCGGGGGGCCTGCTAGCCTCTGGGGAGGCTCTTGGGGCTTAGCCAGAGGCTGCGTGCAGCGGGGGGCTGCATGCCAACAGGACGGATGGGCGTGAGCGGGTGGACGCTGGGCAAGACACATCTACCTTGTTCCACCAGCCCCATGGTGGTGCCGGAGGCCGCGGTGGACATTGTGGCCGGAGCGGTGGTCTGTCTGCCCACTGTTAGCACCGGGTTAGAAACGAGGGGGGAAAAGGGGGGCGGACACAGACGGGGTGGAGGGGCGAGGTGAGGAAAGAGAAGAGACAAAGGAAGCAGAAGAAGATTAGAGTTAAAGTTTAAGTGGCAGATGGCTGCAGAATCCCTTTCTCAGAGAGTGAAACAAGATTGGATCGACTGAATACCAAAAAGCCTTTGCCTCCTTTCTCCTTAGAACACCCCAGTGGGGCTTCTCATGCCCGGTGGGGGTATGCCGGGCTCACAGCAGACAGGACAGTCCCATTAGTGTTGGTGTGACTGTGCGTGCCTGTTCACGGCAGTGCAGTATCACAGCAAAGTAACAGGAAGGGGGCAGGGTGCCAGATGCAGACAGACAACCAGAGACAACCATAGACGCTCGCACACTCAGTGTCAGACGACGCAGAAGCCACAGGCATAGCTATCTGGGCGCTGGGGCCAACACCGGATCCCCTGGGTGGGCCTGCAGTGCCCTGGGCCCCAGGGGGGTCTGTAGCAGACTCTCTAAACTTCATTTTCCCACCACTCACCCTGAGTAACCAGGGTAGGTGCCTCATCCAGATGTCACAAGGGAGGTCCCCGGTGCGCCAACCTCACACTTACCAACCCCCCTTCTGCCACCTCCCACATACAACATGATGCTCAGAGAGCTGAAAACAAGGAGATCACAGGGCTGCCCTATAGAGACCTAGACAGACACACGTGGCAGGCTGGGTGGTGGGCAGCACAGACACTGAGGCATCAGGAAAGGGACACAGACCCAACATGACGGAGATGGGCAGAGGATGGCAGAGCCCAGGTGGCTGCCCAAGAAAGGGGCCCAGGAATGCCTACTGGGCAGGGCAGTAGGTCTCAGAGCTGAGGGCAGAGGCCAGGCACTGGCCAGATGTTTTGGTGGAGAGGGTCTGAAGGGCTGGTGGGGACAGAAGGGCTTCTTGTCACATGCCATCTGCAGGGCAAGAATGGCATATCCTCCTTGGAGAAGAATGTCTCACCTGAGAAATTCCGTGTGGCCAGCATGGTGGTGAGGATGGCTCCCTGAGGAGAGACAGAGCCAGGGCAGCCCTATTAGTCTTCTGGCTTCTGACCAGAAGATCCCACCTACCAGCTTGCAAGGTCAGTCTTCCCAACAGGAAGAGTTCCAGGAACCTAGCAGCTGCACCAAGGCAGAACACCTACATCCACAATTAAAGCACACCCAGGATCCCTAATTCCATCACCAGCCACAGCTACAAGACTTCCGAGATTCAGGCACTGCCTGCCAGGACCACCTGTCACCATAGCAGCACCTCTGCACTCATCCCGCCTCAGGCCTGGGGCAGTGGAGGCTGTCTTTGGGAGTTTTGGGGAGAACTAGTCAGGCAGTGGTCCCAGGGCTTGGGGAGATGGCTGGGTCAACCAGACAGGAGGTCTGCTCTGCCCACCTCCCTCCCTGACCTCCTTTGCCCATAAGACCAGCATTTCTCTGTGCTCTCCTTAGCAACCTGGCCCTATGGGCCAGGCCTGCAAGAGCCTCAGGATGGACCCTACCGGGGGGTCCCCAGGATGCCCCTCTCAGGGCTGCTTGAGGCATCATGGCTAACCAGGAGGGGCCAGTTCTGTGCGTGGGACCAAGGCCAGACCTGGGCCCTAAGACTCTGGACTGTTTGCAGGGCCTGTGAAGGAGCACAGTCTTGGGGCTTCCCTCTCCTACTGGGCCAAATCAAACCCTGCTGACAGTCCCCTTCTCCCTCCCCCCAGCATGGGGCCTCAGGTCGTGACATGCTAGGGGGCTGAATGGTGCCTCACCTTGAGCTTTCTCCTGGCATTAAACTTCTTCAGACACTCCACAGTCTCCTGTCTGTGCATCATAGAAGCCACAGTGGAGCGTTGCTGTGGGGAGAGAGAGGTCACCAGTAACAGGGAGCTTGAGAGGTATCAGCCTGTCCCCGAGGGAGACAGAGACTCAGGGGGACATAAGAAGGGTAGCAGGGCTTGCAGTATCCAGGGACCCCCAGTGCTGAGAGCCACCAAACACGACCACAACAAGAGGACACCTGTTCCTCCCTGCTGTCTCTGTTGCCTGCAACTTCAAGCCTTGCCCTTTACTGGGGTCTGGAGGGAGGTACCTGCTGTGCCCTCAATGTCCGCAAGGTCCTGTCCTCATAATCCACCAGCGTGTCGCAGGCCAGAGGTCATGAGAGTACCAGTGCATCCAGAGACTGGCTGGATGCAAGGATCAGAACCCCAGGACCAACCCATGGGCCCTCACCACCTTCACTCACCAGGAGCCAGCCCCCAGCAGGTGACAAGGACAACTTACACAGACCCATGGGTGCTTCAGGGCCTCGTGGGCTGTGATGCGCTTCGCAGGGTTGATGGTCAACATCTGGTTGATAAGGTTTTTGGCTTCTGGGGTGACAGTGTCCCACTCGGGGGATGGAAACTGCAGAAAGAAACAGTGCCCATCCAAGGCTGAAGCTTCCTTCCCAGGCAGGGAGGGATCAGGAGTAGAGGAGGGCAGGACCCAGGGAGTGGCCACAGGAAAGCCCACCCCCACCCCCCTGGGTGCACTCACGTCATAGGCCCCAGCCTTGATCTGCTGGTAGAGCTTGTGCTGGTCCTCGTCCCAGAAGGGTGGGTAGCCCACCAGCAGGATGTACAGGATCACCCCTGTGGACAGGGACGTGAGCAACATAGCCCTGGGAAGGCCCTGGAGTCCTCAGTTTCCTTTGTGTCCCACCCTCAACCCCTGCAGCAGGGCAGAATGGCACCTACATCCTGTTCTACACCCATCCTAGGAGCACAGGCCAGAGCCCTCCACTGTACCCTACCCAAGAGGAGACCCCGCCAGGTGGTTTGACAGTCCCCAGTCCCTGCATTCCTGGTGGTCCATTCTGCTCTGAGCTCAGACTACTACTGAGCACAGGTGGAGACAGATAATCATGGCAATTCAAAGTTGAGTGTCAGACCCCTGCCAAGGCAGCCCAAAAGCAGGTCTGACACATGAGCCTGGCCCAGGGCAGGGTCAGTCAGCTACCTGCACGCTCCAGGACAGAGGTGGAAAGCCCAGAGATGCCCCAAACACTGTTTCCCCCACCTTCCCCACCCACAAGTCTCACCACATGCCCAGATGTCCACGGGCTTGCCATACGCCTCCTTCCGCAGGACCTCAGGGGACAGATAGCCTGGTGTGCCCGCAAACCCTACGGAGGGGGAAGGGGCCGTGAGGGGCCGTGAGGGGCTGCCAGCACCCTCTGCCCACCCCCCCGGCACTCACCAAACCACGCCTGCTGGTCCCCTTGCACCTCGATAGCAAGGCCGAAGTCCGCCAGCTTCACCGCGGCTCCTTTGCACTTGCTGGCCAGGAGAAGGTTCTCCGGCTACAGGGAGGCGGCCGTGAGGACAATCACAGGAAGGGTGGGGGACAAAACCCGAGATGTGCAGGACAGGGGTACACAGTTCTGACCCCTTTCCGCCTGCACACACACAGGTGTCCCCAGGCATGGCTGGTCCCAAGCCTGTACTTTACAGTCCAACTTCCCTTGGGCACAAAGACAGGAACCCTAGCTTTTCAGAGGAAAGTGGGCTGCCAGTCCCAGCTTGGATTCTTTGCATCCCAAAACAGAAGTCTGGAGTATATTGACACCCTTACAAGGGTCCCTCACAGTTTGGGATGGTCCTCACAACCTGAGACTCCCCTGTTGAAGGGACTGCACCGGCCCTTTCCCTCCTTTTTTTTTTTTTAAATGGTACTGGAGTTTGAACTTCACGCTTGCTAGGCAGGTGCTCTACTGCTTGAGCCATGCCTCCAGCCCTCCCTCTTTTTATTCTGACACCATGTGTGGGGACTACTGAGGTTTGGGCACTCCCTGCTTCCACGATGGCCCTCTTTAGGGCAAGGAGGAACACCAGGTTCACAGTGTCCAGGAAAGAATATCCACCTACCAGGCACAGCTCTGGCCAACACTACCACATAGGACAGAAAGGATATCTCCTGCCCTGATCACCTCCCATCCACAGGAAAGTCTATGCAAGCCCTCGGGGAGCAGTGCCCTTGCTCAAGTTGAAGGGACATTTGGTCTCTGTCCAACAGAAACAGCCGAGGAGGAGGCTGCTGCCTCTGAACTTGAGAACAGCTGGGGGCCTGAGGGGTGCATTGACTGCTTTCTCCCCAGACTTTCCTGTCCAGCTTCCAGGCCTGGCAGGGACTGTATCATCTCCCAGGGTCCAGGTTGCTGGGCAGTGCTCAAAGCCTGGTAAGGGGCCTCATTGTTGCTGGCTGCCCTGGTCCCTGACCACCAGGGAGCTCCTGGAGCTTGGGATCCCCGATCCTCATAACCTCCCTCTCTATCTCAAACAAAGGGCAGCTGCTCTGATCATGCTGTGGCTGAGGAGCCATAAGTAGCCAGCAAAAAAGATCCCACACTGCCACTTAGCGTGCTTTTAACACAGATTTTACCTGGTGAAAAAGTGGCCCCAGGAATGGAAGTGTGTCACCCCTACACAGAGATATGTGCACACCCAAGCTAAGAGCTCAGGCCCCCCAGGCAGACCAGAGTTTCCCAAGGTTCTAGTTGTAGCCTGCAGAGCAGGAAGGACCAAGGTCTCTTGCTTTGTCAGGGGTGGGCAGGTGTCTGTCCCTGCCTGGAGCTCCTCTTTCTCCCTGGTGACAGGCAGGGTCACACTTGGCCCTGCCATCTTGATTTTGCCCAGGTGAGCAGGACAGGGTCTCAGGCTTCCCAGGGTCCCACATGGACAGGCTTCTGAGAGCCTGTCCTGTAGCCACCCTGTGCCCTGGGGATGGCAAATCTTTTGCAGAGAGCCTGGTGCCTACAATTCAGCACAAGGCAGAGAGACTTGGAGAGAGAGCTGGGAAGAGTTGACAGAGCCAGGCAAGGCTTGTTTTCACCACCCTGAACCCCCAGTTGCGTCAGCCCTCTGTCACCTGTGTCCCCACCTGCCAGGGCTGCATCTTGGTGGGAGTCCAGGAAGTAAGACCCTGCCCCTTCCAGCTCTGGAGACATTGGGCAGGATGTGTGCAAACATATCCCACACATGCATGCAAGTGCACGTGCAAACCCACACCTGCACACATATGTGTATGCACACATGCCCCTGTACCCATATGCACATGGTCCTACACACAGACATGTACACACACATGCATACTCACACTCCTCAATGCAAGTACACAGTATGTATACACACACACCTCCCCCTCAGCCCGCACTTCCTTTTACACCGCCTTCAGGTGTGGACGACAGATGCCTGGCACAGTGCAGGGTAGGAACTTACCTTGAGGTCTCTGTGGACGACCCCCATTTGGTGACAGTGAAGAACAGCCTCCAGGATCTGCTGGATGCAGTGACTGTGGCAAATAGCAGGCAGTTTAGTGCAAGTGGCCCTGGGGTGGCCAGGGGGTGGAGAGCAGCAAGAGGCACAGGGAGGGCAGCAGTGCTGCTCAGAAGGCAGCGCCAGAGCCACCAAAGTGACTTTTGGGAGGTGATACTCTGGTTCCAAGTTCGACCCTCCCCAGGCTCAGGCTGACCCCAAGCTGTGGGCAGAGAAGTATTCTATAAGACAAACTGTGGTGAGCATCGTGGGCAGGAGGGTGGGGAAACTAAGGCAGGGAAGGGCCAAGTGGACAGGGGTGGGGACATAGGTGCCCATGGTGTGCAGGCAAGCCCAGAACCAGGCCCTGTAGGCTCTGGAGCAGCAATGTTTACATTCGTAAACATGAATGTCAGTGCCCAATCCTGGAGGCAATGGGATGGCCAGAGGTCATGAACATTGGTGCCCAGTCCTGGGGGTTGGTGGAGTGACCAAGGGTGAGGAAGGGGCTGGGGCATGGATTTGGCCCTTCTCCAACAGCTCCACTGTGCCTGGCCACATCTGGACATGGCAGCACTGCACTGAAAAGAACACCTTGGTCTCCTCCCCAGAAGCCCAGCCTCCTAATGGGATGATGGAGTCCTGAGATCTGTGGGGTTCAGAAGCAGCAGGCCTGTGAGAGACAGCCCCTCCTGCTCCCAATGTCACTAAGGCCCCACCCAGCGCTCAACAACCCAGCCTGGGCTTCCTAGCCCTGCTCTTGCTGATTGAGAGGAGGGGTCGTCGGGCAAACCAGGGCTCCAGTGAGAAGTTTCCCATGACATCCTCACCCTCTTTCTGGTCCCTCAGGGAGACCAACACCTGTTACTTGGGATGGCACTCAGCCCCATGGAGGCTTGGGGATTAGCTGTGTCCTTGCCAAGGCCTGCACGCCTGGGCCCAGCAAGCCTCACTGGAGTGGGCAGAGTGCAGCCTCCCAACAGGCTGTTGGGGATGGACCTTCCCCAGCCTATAGAGTGAGGGGGCTCTTTTCACCCTCCAATTGATACTTCACGCACCACTGTGTAGAAAGATTGGCTAGACCATGGGGCTATCTTGGACCCTGAGTTTTTCTGGGTGGGGTGCAGACTGCAGGTCTCGAGTTCTAACTTGAGCCTTTCCTCTAGCCATCTCCGTGGACAGCACAGCCCTGCTGGCAGGCTTTCCCACTGCCTGGGACACTCTCCCTCTGTGGCAATTTTTGTGGTGCCTGTAGTCTTCAGGAAGGGCTGAATCCCTGGACACCACCAGCAGGGGCCCAGCCTGCTCTATGCACCCCACATAGTGTGCTGAGGGCGGGAGTCAGTGCCTTCCTCCCTCAGTGAGCTTCCTTCAGCCTCAGCCTTTTGAGAGACAGTTTCAAGTCAGCCACAGAGCTGACAGAGTGGCTAAATTGGTAGAGTGCCTGCCTAGCAAGCATAAGGCCCTGAGTTACCCCAGTAATGCAAAAAAAAACAAAAACAAAAAAACCCCAAACCCATCAAGTCCTGGACACAGCTCTGGGTCAAGCTGTGGCCTCAGTCTTCCCTAATCACTGCCCTTGAGGAAGCCATCCTGACCCTATGGCCAGTGTGCTGCATGCTGCCTTTCCCTCCTTTCCTCTCTGGCACCCTTGTCTGTTCATGCAGGGACCCAAAATAGCACCAGAGACCTCTTCAGCTATCCATGGGGTGTGTGGTCCGGAGTGCTGAGATCAAGTCCTCTGCTTTGCCTGGTCCACTTGTCATGCTTTGAAACCAGCCTGAGAGTGACCAGCACTAATGAACAAGGTGGTCAGGCAAGCCAGGGTTCCCCAGTAGAACACAGTTCTAGGGACATGCCAAACCAAAGTGACAACACCGATCTGCAGGTGGGATGGCATACCCACCCAGCTTACCAGCAGCCTCTCAGGCAGTCCTCACCCTCCAGGGACCTCTCCTCAGGTTGCTCTGGCCCTGGTTTCCACCTTCTGTTAACACCACACCAACCTCCCAGGCAGGGCCAACCCCTCTGGGATTTTCTTTATGTTCTGGGCAGTCTGGAAGTCATTTTTGTCATCAGAATCAATCCCAAGCAGCATTCTGAACATTGGCCAGGTTCTGGATGTTACTCTTACTGTCCAGGCCCTGCCCCAGGAACACTCAGCATCTTACTGGGTCCTTTTCAAATCTCTTATGAACTTTGGCTTTGGTTTTGGGTTTTGTAAGGGGTCTGGGTCTCACTATGTTGCCCAGACTGGATTTGAACTCCCAAGCTCAAGTAATACTCCTGATTCAGCCTCCTCAGGAGCTGTGACTGCAGGTGTGTGTTGCTATGCTTGGCTCCCAAGATTTTTAAGAAATGGGTTCTAAACATTTTGAACTTTGCTTTCCCTGCTTTGCAAAAGTCTTGGACACCTTTGAGTTTCCCCAATCTCCAAAATAAAAATCTCATTTTATCCCAAGAGGAATTTCCAGCCTTTTTGGTTAAAAACAGGTTCAGAAAAGCCATTCTTGCTCTCTGGCAATCTGTCAGAGGCTCTTCCACTTCTGGTTGGCTGGCACCTGGGGCCTCCCAACACACCTGCCAGGGCCACATCTGTGAGCATGAGGACCGCTGCACCTCCCACCAGGTCAGGGTCCAACCAGATGGTTCTGGGCCACTCTGCCCTGACACCTGGTCTTTTGGCCTCTATCTTAGTATAATTTTGATTCCAGTCAGTAGGGAGTTCCACCCTAGGGCTAGTTAAGCTCCCCTCTTTTGCACACTCCTGCTGTGAATTTGAGGCAAGGGCTATGGGGTAATAACCCTCAGGGGCCCCCAAGTCAGACTCTGTTAAGCACCACTGCCTAAGGCACAAGATCCAACCAGCCAGCTGCCTAATTCTCCCTCCCGGTCCAGGACCAGGCTCGGCAAGAGAGAGAGGAAGGCTGAGGCTGTGTAGGGGCTAGGGAGGGGCTGCCCTGTGGATGTGGATGCTAGAGTTGTCTCACCAGTGTGACCAGCCCAGGAGGGGCCACCTCACAGGGCTCCCTCATGCCCTCCCCTTCCCCTTGCCTGGGTCCTGGCACCTGCCTGGTCTGACTACTGAGCACCCTCCAGTAAAGCCTCAAGTCCCAGAAATGCAGAAAGTTTGTGAGAATGTTGTGGGGTGGAGCCCTACCTCTTCTGGGCCAGGTTCAGAGGCCCCCAAACACACAGGAGTACCTTGTACCCTTGGAGAGGGTTGGGGTTCCCCAGGAAGGGCTCTGGCTTATAGGGGACAACACCGTGATTTCCCAAGGGCTCCTGGAATACAAATAGCCAAAGCACCCAGGAAGCCCCAGCCTCTCTTTTCCTCAGCACACCTGAGGCTGCTCAGTCCTGAGCAGGGGCAGCCCCCGCCACCTGCCACCAGCCTGTGTCAGGAAGGGTCCAGGCAAGGTAGAATTCCTGTTGCAAGCCAAGCCCACAGTGACCACCAGGAGGCGCTACAGGCGTGCCAGAGATGGACTGAGGCTGGATGCCAGTAAGGAGAGGCAGAGGCTGCCCTGCAATAGGGCGGAGTGTTGATGCTCTCCAAGAACAGCTGACCTTGGAGCTGAGGGTGGCGCCCACTGGCCCCTCCACCCAGAGACGGGCTGCCTGGGGTGCGTGCCCCTCTGGTCTCCACTCTGTGAGGGAAGCGTTTTTGGTGGGGAGGGGTGGCTGGGGAGTGACTCCATGAAAGCCTCCATGGATCACAGGTCCTACAGGGACCCCACACCACACAGGAGGCAGAAGGATCCATACAGAGAACGGGGGGCAGGGCCGAAGGACATTGATGAGGAGGAAGAAGGAGCCTTAGATACCTCAGCAGATGTCTGGAAGGGCCATTGGGGACCCTCAAGTCCATCTGCCCAGCGGGCAATCCAACTCTAAGACATTTCCCCACCAGCATCTCACAGCAGAAAGGGTTCCACTCTACTTTCTGTTTCTCTTATAAGTAAAATGTAAAGAAAACATCACCTTCCTCCACTCCAATACAAAGTCCTTCCTGAAGGAAGTGGCCAGTGATTTTAGTCCCTTGGGATCTAAGGCCAAGAGGAACCACAACCTGTGCAACCTGTCCCTCTCCCTGACCTGGCCTCTGCTGCCTGGCTCCATGGGGAGGCCCAAGAGGCCAGGACAAGCCAGGAAAGTCACAGCTTCCACAGGGACTCAGGGCCTATTGTGAAGGGCAAGGCTACCTGCAGGTGCAGAGCAAGTCACATGAAGCTACTCTAAAACAGTAATATTCATTTTTCTTGATTAGAAATATAATTCATACTAATTAAAGAAGAAGGCCCAGGGTCGAGCCCCCTGACCGGCACCCTGGCTGGGAGGAGAGGTGGCCTCTTGGGCCAGTGCCGAAATTTCACATGTCCCCTGGCTTCTTCCCTCTGCCCCAGGGTGAGGTAAGCAACGGTGCAGGGGACCCTGGGAGAAAATCCAATGACACCTTTCCCAGCCAGGTGCACCAGGATACTTGGTCAACTTTCCTTTACCTTCTGCTGGAGCACGGTGGTGTCCAAGGTGGCCCTGGGAGGACACCATGGAAGGGGTGTCCTTTTGGGAAAAGCATTTAGAAAGCACTCATCTCTGGGAGGAAGGTGAGGTAAGAGATGCCTGTCATGGGTCATGGACTGAGGCATTCAAGAGAAGGGTGACAGCATGTCTAGGACTGGCTGCTGCTCTTCCCTCTTCAGCCACCCCAAGCAGAGTACCCCTCATAGTACAGCAGGGCCAGCCTTCCTCCACCATGGCCATGCTTCTGTGCTGGTCAAAGACATATAGCTCAGAGAGCTCCCAGCAAGCCCGTGGGCCAAGTGACCCTTGCACCCAGCCACTCTCTGCAGGGGCCATGAAGGGAAAGGGCCCCGATGCACAGGAGACGATGTGCGTCACAGAAGTGGAAGCAGTGGGGCTGAGTTAGGGATGGGCCAGGAGTGAGAAAAAAGGACCATGCGGCTCCATACTCACCTGGCATCAGCCTCACTATAGTATTCTCTGGCCACAATGTCTTCAAAGAGCTCCCCACCAGTGACCCTGCAGGGAAAGCACATGGTCATGGATGCTAGAGACCCTTGTCATCCTGTCACCTCCATATCACCATCACCACCATCACCATCATCACAGCCATCACCTCGTTGCCACCGTCACCAACATCACAATCACCACCACCATCGCCACCACTGTCATCACCATCACCACCTCCACCCTAGTACTATTGTCACCTAGGACTGACAGCTTACCACGTGCTCACTCACTCACACATGATATTAATATTTCTGTCAGAACCATGCCATGCGATTCCATTTTTGGATGAAAAACACTGAGTTTCAGAGATTTAAGTGACATTCCCACAGAGTGGACAGCACAGGGGTTTCAGTCAGGTCTCTCCAGTGTTATACCCAGTCCTTGTGACTCTAATTCGGGTCTGAGAAGAGATGGATTCAACCCCTCCCCCCAGGCCAGAGCTGTGGCCCTACACAGGAGTGAAGGGGCGAAGATATGGTGCCTGGAACTGGTCTTCCTGGTGTGCCAATGTCTTGAAGTACTCAACATCTCACGTCCAGGAGGAGAACAGAGATGCCAACAGCAGTGGGAAGGGTGTCTCTGTCCACATACCCTCCTGCCCTGGGTCCCTGAGTACGGGGTTGTCAGGACACAGTCAGAAGAGGCCTCAGGGAAGGAGCTACTGTCTGGAGGGCCTCTGAGAACCCGGAAAGAGTCTGGGCTGCCCAGGGGCAGAATGGGGCCCCCTGAGTCTGCCCAAGTCCCTCCTCCAACGTGGTGGCTCTGAGTCAGATGAAAGACACAATCTGGAAGCCCCCACCTGAGGAGGCCAGGCTCTCCCTGCAGAGGGGGCCTGTGGCCTCTTCCCCAGATCCCTCTTACTATGGCTGCAAGATATTTCTATTTCTCATTCATTCTGGAAGAAGGGTCTTGGGTCTTCCTCATTTTGTGCCCAGTCCTCAGGGCTGGCATGGCCCATGGCAGAGGTAACTGAGGGAGTGGGGACTGTTGAATGATGACCCTGGCATGGGTGGACACTGTGTTCTCAGTGTTGGAGAAAAATAAAAACAAGATGGGCTGAGTGTTAGGGTGTCCTTGCTCCAGGCTAAATGAAACCTGAGGACCCCAAGGGAACCTGGACACCCCTTGGAGTGAGGAGAACCACTTTCTCTATGGAGGAACTGTAAACCTGAGCTGCACTATCTGAGGGGGTGACAGTGCTGGAGTTGTGGCCCTGGGCTCAGGAGACCTGGGCTGGGCCCACTCAGCTGCCTGATCTTACTGTTGGCGTTTCCACCCTTAAAGTGGAAACAGAAACATGAAGGTGACAGGTGTTCATGCATATGTGTGTGCATGTGTGTGCACATGTATGAGAAGCAGAGGGAGCAAGTCTCAAGTGTGGCCCAGGGGAGGGGCTGATACCCCAGTGCTGTATGACTGACTGACTATTTAGGTCTTGATACATCAGCTTACAGAACAGGCTCTGTAGACCTTGTGTCTTAGTGGAGCACAGTGGCAAAAGGCCACCAATTCTTGGGCCAGAGCTACATCTCAGAGAACCCCCTGAGAAGTGCCTCACCTGGGCCAGGGCCAGGTCCACCCCAGGCAGCTTGTACTTTGGTCTGATGGGCACCTGGGACTCCTTGGCCAGGGCCATCTCCTGGTCCAGAACCTCAGGTCAGGATTTGTGCCTCCACTGAGTTGTTTGCTGGGGGTGGATTTAGGAGCAGGGCTGGCCCAGGAACGGTATAGTCTGGGAGGCTATTCCTCCTTTTCTTAGGCTATAAGGTCAATTGCAGGCTATAGCTTGTGGCCCACGTGGGAGTCCTCTCCTCGGGCCAGTTCCCAACATTTCCCAGCATGGAGATGGATACCTGTCAACCTTCCAGACCCATGCAGTCCCCAAACTGCCAAGGGACCTCACGGCTTCTAAGAGGCGACACAGCCCATTTAGAAGCTGCTGCCCTGGAGGCCACAGGGTTTGAGGAAAGGATGTGCAGGCCTTTGGGACTCACCACCCTCAGTCTTTCCCTACACCTGCCTGGTATGGGCTGGACCAGAGCAAGAAGTAAGCATCCCACACACGTGCACACACACAATCACACACTTTCTCTTCCCTTCACAGCTTCTGAACCACATGCAGCCATCTGTTGACTACAAGGTCACCCTTAGTCCAGGGCCTCTCTGTGTCCTGGGAAAAGAGACTGGCAGAGGAGAATCTGGGGCACAGAAGAGCTACAGTAAGCCTCCCCTGCAAGGGCATGGCAGCCAAGACTGTGCCTGGATCAGCCCTGGTTACCTAGCTGACAACTCCAGGCAGGCAGGGTCCTGTGGTACACACAGGGGTACCTGAGAGCTGACCAGGCCCACACAAGGGACAGCCTGGTCTCTCTTCATCAGAGACTCCCACGTGGGTGGAGGCCACTCAGTCCTGCACACCCCACAGCCTAAGCATCTGTCATTTGAGGGAGGAAGGGCTGAGAGGCAGCCTCACGGAAGGTGCCTGTGGTCACTCCTCAGCCTGTTGCTCAAGGGCATCTGTGGGAGGGCACTGTAGCCATGGCAACAGCACCAGGCTTCCCTGGGCTGTGTGGCTAGCAGGCCACAGGGGCAGGCCAAGGCCCATGGGCCCCACCCAGCCCAAGGTCCTGGAGCAGTCTCGCTTCGCTGACTGCTAAATATAGGGCTGCTTAGCGGGAGCTGTCAAGAGTGAGGGAGATGAGATCATCGCTTCTAAATCTGGCAGGAAGTGCGAGGCGGTACTGGCCCCAGACGCCTTCTGGCTCAGCTACCGTATGGATGCATGCGCGCGTGCGCGCACACACACACTCTCTCTCATGTACACACTTGTGCACACTCAAGCACACACTCATGTACACACGCACTTACACACATGCACGCAGACACGCACACACTCGTGTACACATAAGCATGTATATGCACTCGTGCACATGCACATTAACACGCCTACACACATGCAAATATACATGCACACACATGCATGTACCCTATCTATACAAACCACACCAGCACACATTCAGGCAGCCACATGCGTTAGCACATCCACACATGTGCACACACTTACATGCTTTCACCACACTCAAACACACACACTCACGCCAGCCAGCAGTGCCCCAGTTCACCATGATGAGGCACCAAGGGAGGGGTAGTAAAGGTACTGCTGCCCACCTTCTGGTCCTCCTTTCCCCTCTCCCACCCACTGACCTTCTGCATGGAGAAGAGGGCTCAGGGTTTCAGCCCCCCCCACCCCACCCCCACCCTGGGGACTCCATAAAACCCATGCAAAGCCAAGGAAGAGTCAAGGGAGGCCAGGCCAGTGTGGCCGGGAGTGAGGTGACTCACTGCAGGCCTTATGTAGGGTGCGAATTGTCCCTGGGTCTGAAGAGGCTGTGGACCCCACCCTGCCCTGGGCTGGGGGTAGGAGGGGGCAAGAGTCCTCAGCTCTGGCACTTACAGATCGAAGACCAGGTAGTGGAACCCCTCCTCGGAGATGCTGTCATGAAGACGCACTGAGGAGACAGAAAAGCCATGAGACGTGGACACAACCCACCCTCCACCTCTACCCTGGCCAGGTCGCCTATCCACATGCCAGCCAGTGGTGCAGATCTGGGAGGGCTCCCCCACCCCACTCTGCCCAAGGCCAAGGGTGGCCCACAGGACCAGGCTGGAGAGGCCCCTGTGGCCACCAGGGAGCAGGGTGGAGAGAGTGCTTTGGGCCCTGCAGGCCACCAGCCCTGGGCCAGCATCCAGCAACTCTGGGCACTGCCCTGCCCTTCCCCCACCCTGAGCTGCCTGCCTGGTCTCCTGTCTCCTTCTGCCAGAGGGAGACACAGGAGGGATTCACACAGCTGAGCCCCTGGACAGGAGCCCCAAAGACGTTCACATGGGAATGCAAATGGAACCGTGGTGTAGTCTCCGCACAACACAAGCCCCCTCTAGGGTCTGTCTTTGCTGAGCCACAGGGATTTTCTAGAAATGACTCACTCTGGGACCCGCTATCCCACGCCAGGGCTTTGCCCTCTGCTAGAACAACAGCGGGCATTCAGCACTCCCCACATGCCTGGGCTGCTCTGAACACTTCGCACGTCAACTGAATTATCCTGCCACCCACCTCGCCTGGCTTCAGATGGGGGCGCCGAAGCACAGAGAGGTTGAGTAATCCACTGAAGGTCACACAGCCCACAAAAGGTGAAGTGGGGCTGTGGGCTCAGGGATCTTGTCTGGCTCCAGGGCCTGCGCTGAACCAGTCTTGGCCCCTCTGTTCCTTGGGACCTGGCCAGTCAGATCTTGGAGGTCTCACTGTCTCCCACCACCCAAGACTGAACCACAGGCAGGTGCTAGCAGTAGAAAGGTGGCCAACTTCGACCTGGTCCTGAAGGCTACTGGGGCCTCAGGCACAAACAGCCCATGCTGCTCCAGGTGCTCTACTGTGCTGTCCTAGTTTTTAACTGACTGCCAGAGCCCCTCCTCCTGGCCCCAGTCCTCCCAGGGGCCAGCCTCATAGCATCCTCGAGCCTGGGAACTCTGATCTGGTATCTGAGGCTCAGGTCTTGCCCTGTGGATGATAGTCTTTCTCAGCTCCTCAGGCACAAAGCTCTCCACCCTGAGTGCAAATCAAACCCCAGGTTCTTCCACAGATCCAGGAAATGTAAGGCCACAGCTACTATCCTGACTGTGTGGCCTCAGACAGGGTACTCAGCCATCCAAGCCTCAGTCTGTTCCTCTGTGAAATGGATTAAAACAGTACTTATACTCATCTTGCTGTGAAGATGAATTGTGGAACCTGTGGGGAGCCGGCAGGACACAGTTAGCATTGCGTGGACCACAGCCTGGATACTGTTACTGTCACCATTACCATCTGGGTGTGTGAGGAATTCCAGGTGATGAGTTCTGGGGCCACTTAGGGACCTGAGCTGCTTTCTCAAGCCCAGGTCAGAGAGATGTGGGCCCAGAGGGCAGCAGCACAGTGGAGTAAGTAAACATTTCTTGTTTCATTTCCCTGTTCTAGGCCCCAGCTCTGCCCATCCTTGTCACCTCCCTAGGCCAGGGGTAACTTCCATCCACTGAGGCCATCTGGGAGCCACACTGATCCGAGCCAGACAGAGGTCACACAGCTGTGCCTCCCCACAGACTGACTTCTAATTCCACCTGGTCCCCTGACCTCCCTGTTACTGCATGCACCTTGACTCTACGCAGGCTGCCCTTGTCTCCCTAAGACACAGCAGGTTCCCACTGGCAGCCTTCTTCCAGGACCCATCTGTGAAATCCCTGGAGTTGAACTTTTTACTTGCAGGGACCAGAGAAGGTTCTGGGGTGGGGGTGGGGATGAGGAAAGACAGCTTCTCCCACCCATCCCTTGGAGCCCTGGAAGGTAGCACTCCAGGGAGACCCAGGTAGTCCACAAAGTGACCTCACTATTCCCTGGTGCAGCAGGAATGGCCTGCAGATAGAGGCTGCCCATCTCCCTGTGCAGGACAGGGTGAGGCCCAGGTAGGTCCCACCTCCTTGCCAAGAAGCAGGTCCCTCGGTTAGGAGTTACTAGGATCTGTGTGGGAACTCCAACCAGTTGTGCATATGGACCCCACACACACACACTTAAAAAAAAATTTTTTTTAACATTTTAAAAATAGGTGCTTATTTTTGTGGTTTACAAGAAAATCTAACTAGCACATCAGACTTGTGAATTCACAGACGGGTCTAAGCAAAAAAGTGAATTGTGATACAATCTATTTAAATAAAAGCAGTAAGCAAGTTAACGCTGGTGGCATCAAGCAAGGTGGCAGTGAATTAGGCCCTTGGTGTATGTTTGAGTCCAGTCTGGAAGCCCTGGGTCGGGTGGACGGTGGCAAGTCTCAACCAACTGTGAGAAGGACATCCCTTGTCCTGCTCTGTTTTGGGGCTCCCTGATACTGGGATTCTTCTTTCTCTCATTACTGCACACCAGCTGGGAAGGGACTCAAGGATCCAGATCCCAAGAACTGACCTGGGGCTGCACTTTTGCATGGGGAAAGGGGCCTGGGGGTCTTAGGGCAAGGATACTCCAGGGGACCAGCGACAAGGGGACTCCAGAGGGAACTTCTGCTTTCCCCCTGGCAGCCTTGGACCCTTTCCTGTACCCCTGTGGTGACCATAGCCCTAGTCAGCAGGGTCACGTGATGAAAATGGTGGCCTAAAGGAAGAATGCCTGGATGTAACTTCTGGAACCTTCCACCCCTGTGCCTTCCTCAGATTTCATCATCTCTTGGGAGCCCCTCTACCCAGCTCCTCAGTGGGATACCTGTTGAGGGAGACTGGCTCCAGCCACAAAGCCAGGTGCTGAGGATTTGCCAGCTGCCAAGCCAGGCCCAGAAAGAGTGGGCAGTGTGTGGTGGGGAGGCCCCCTGAGCAGGCCAGAAGCCAGTGCTATACACAGCCAAGGTCAAGGACTTCCTTCACCAAACCCTTTTGGAGGGATGGCCTGACTGGGGGTGGGAGGTGGGGTGCCTGCATGGAATGACATAGAGTCCAAGGAGCTCCAGACCCTCTGAGTTCTTCTCCAGACAACCCAAAGGTGGCCTCACTGAAGCCCATGAACTCATCCCTGTGGCCCTGCTTGGAGTCTCTCCTCTGGGGACTCCTTGCTGACAAGGGCTAGGCATACCTGGGGTCCAAAGATGAGGGGACAACCTGCTTCCTGGCAAGGAGGCCCAGGCAAAGCTGTCCACCCCTAGCTTCTCCAAGTGGCTCAGTCATCCCTGACCATTCCCCTGTGTGAGCACTGGGACATGGACACCTGTGCACCCTACACTGTAGATGTGATCCGCCTACCTATGCTTCCTGAGTAGCTGGAATCATAGGCAAGAATCATCACACCTGGCTTGTTTGTTGAGATGGGATCTTGTTAACATTTTTGCCTGGGGTGGCCTTGAACCTTTATCCTTTCATTTCTGCCTCGAATAGCTGCGATTACACTCTCTATCATAATAACTTTCTTTTGGTGATACTAGGGTTTGAATCAGGTGCTCTATCACCTGAGCCACACAGCCCAGCCCTTTTTGCTTTGCTTATTATTTATTTATTTACTTTGGTGGTACTGGGGTTTGAACTCAGGGCCTCATGCTTGCTAAGGCAAGTGCTCTATCACTTGAGCCACTCTGCCAGCCTGCATTGGTGCAATTGAGAGGCGGTGGAACCTTTAAAGAGAGAGCCTGGTGGAAGGACGTGAGGTCATTTGGGGGCGTGCCTTCAAGAAGACATAGGGACCCCCTCTCCTCTCTTTCTCTCTTTACTTACATAAGATGAACAGATCTCCTCCACCATTTTCTCCAGCCATAGGCCCAAAGCAATGGGGCCAGGTGTCTATGGACTGAAACCACAAGCCAAAACAAACCTCTCTTCCTTGTAAGTTGATTGTCTCAGGAATTCTGTCACAGTGATGGGAAGCTGACTAGCAAGCTGTCCCTCTGTCATCACTTGCGGGGAGGTGGACCATGTTATGACAATGCTCAGGTGGCTCTGTGGTGATGCCCATAGGGAGGACCTGAGGCCCCAGTCAACAGCCATGGGAGGAGCTACCTTGGAAGCAAATCCTGAGGCTTGTCAAGCCCTCAGAAGTCACAGCTGTGGCTAGTGTAGAGTGGGCACAAGAGCCCTGGGTGGGCAGGCACATGGGCCTGGAGCTGGACAGTGACCTGCGCAGCCCCAGAGGGCTCTTGTCCTTGCAGCTGCTTTGACATTCTCAATAGCTTTAGAACAAAGGGCCCACGCTTGCATCTGCACTGGCTCCCGTGGGTTATGTGGGGGCCTGCCCACTAGCTAAGCTCTTCCCCAGGGGGCCACTTGCTCTGCAGCACAGAGAGTCATCACACTCACGAACCAACCCTATAAGTCAGGAGGGGCATTTACATCCCCTTCACAAACGGGGAGTCTGCTCGGAGCTCGTGAGTGGGCCCCAACCAGGCCTTTGCCCTCTACACACCAAGCAGGCTGCCTCAGAAAACCAGATGCAATGTCCATGACTTACCAGTGTCCATACTGGCTCCTCTTACTAGGACCCTGGCAGGGAGGGAGGAACAGTTCCTTTTTCAGAGGGGGGAAACTGAGGCTGCTCCCCTCTCCAGCCTGGCACACACTGCTTCCTGACCTATCAGCAAAGAGGGGAGCTGCCCCCGCTAGAGCCACCTCACCCCCAGGACCTGCTCTCATGGTCCCAAGGTGGCCTGTGAGCAGCTTTCTGTGCAGAAATAGGGTTGGTGGCCCTGAGAAAAGGCTGGGGTCACCCCCGTGAGGGAGGGTTCCTCTTGTCTCCCCTACAAGTTCTTTCTTCCTCCTCATAGAGCTCCTGGATGTACAAAGAGGGTTCCCTGTGAATACCACAGCTGCAGGTCTGATCTTGGGTCCCCAAGTGGCTGGAATTAAGCTTCTACAAGGACCTCCAGTGGTCAGCCACATCTCCCCATTCCAGACTGAGAGCTGAGAACCAACCCAGCACCTCACAGAGAGATGCCCTCTTGGAAAGCCCCAGCTCAAAGAACATCTGCATCTCCCACAAAAACGGAGGCTTCAGAAAAGTGACTGCCCTTGGCCGGAGCTCAGAGCGTGCAGGCATGAGGAAGGAAGGGCAAGCAGGACTTCGAGGGGCAAGGGAATAGTCTGGGCAGGGATGGGTGGGAGGTGACAACCTCCAGGACCCCAGCAAGAGAGGCAATGTCCTGGTGGTGAGGTAGATTGAAGCTCTCAGCCCTGAGTGGCCGGCACCCAGTGGGCCTGGGGGTCCCCATGATGCTGGTAAGATCTAGGTTCCTTCTGAGTTGGACTTTCCCAGGAAGGCCCAGGCACCTGTGTGTCAGCAGGAAGAAGAGTCTGAGATTGAAAGACTGGTGGGCCAGTCCCAAAATGAAAGACATGTCTTTCCCCATCCAGCTCTCAGTCTGGACTAGGAGACAGCAGAGGATATTCAACACCCTGGAGTCCCAGCAGAGACCTCCGGCACCAGCCTTCCTGAGGCGCTCTTAGTCCCCTAAGACTCCTACATGTGTAAGGCAGGCCTAACTCTTCCTCTTTGCCTCCACCCGTAGGCTGGAGGGGTGTGAATGCTGGCTCCTCTGCACAGTCTCTGGGATGCCCCTTTAAAACTCAGTTTCTTAGCCAGGCACTGGTGGCTCACGCATGTAATCCTAGATGCTCAGGAGGCAGAAATCAGGAGGATCACGATTCGAAGTCAGCCTGTGCAAATACTTTGTGAGACACTATCTCAAAAAAAAAAAAAATCATCACAAAAAAGGGCGGGTGGAGTAGCTCAAGGTGTAGGCCCTGAGTTCAAATTCCAGTACCAAAAAAAAAGAAAAGAAAGAAACCCACAGTTTCCTAGGCTCTGTCCTGGCAAAAAAGAACAAGCTTCAGAGGGAGGGGCCCAGGAATCCACAGATAAGTCCTGGTGTCTCTGAGGCCAGCCTGAGGATCCCCATCAGCAGAGAGCCTCCCAAGGTGTCTCCAGCTGCTCCCCAGATGTCCTCAGAGGGACCAAAGTTCAGAGGGACAGGCATCTGAACACAGGCACACATGTGTGCTAACAGGAGCCATGGAAGGCGAGGGGCAGGCAGGACCCAGTGGCCTGGGAAATCTAGGTTCCTGCAGCTCCTTGAACTGTGTTTATGACCCCAACACAGGACTCATCTGGGGCTTATGGAAGGAGCACTGCCAGGTGGTGTGGCTGTGCTTTCTGGGGACTAACACCTGGCCTATAGGCCAGGACCCTGTGAAAGTCTTGACTCCTAGCTCTCCCATCACAGGCAGACAGGTGGCTCACTCACCAAATGCCCATCTCTTCCTGACAGGACCAGCAGTCCTAATGCCGGAGATGGTGCCAGCCCAGGCCTCTTGGGGACCCTTCTGATGTGCCTAGCCAGTGAGGCTTGGACAGGCCACTGGCCCCAGATTCTGGGCTCCAAATGCCCCTGTGAGCATTCTCAAAAATGCTCACCCTGTCCTCCACGGGGACCACTCACCGATGTTGGAATGCTTCAGCAAGCGACAGATCCGAGCCTCTCTCTCCAGCTTCTGGTGATCTGAGGACAGAAAGTGACAAAGCATCACCTTGTGCCCCAGTGCAAGGTGGGAACGCCTGGCAGCAATGTCAGGATAGACCCAGGAGGGTGTGCAACAGCCTCCAACCAAGACAGGCTGGCCTAGGACCCCACATCTCGGGGGTTGTGCCAACCCACTGCCTGGCCTGGCAGCTTCACCTGCTGAGGTGAGAGGCAGGACACTGACATCCCCACCCCTCCATGGGCCACAAGTGGCAGCTGCATGAGGCACAGACACCCCCAGAAGGCAGTGGGTGGACTAACTCTGTGTTAAAAGTTGCCGGCATGATTCAAAGAACACTGAGTGTTATATGTTAGTGGTGTCATGATTTATTTCTTCACTTATTTGTCTTAATTCCATACTCCGGGGCAGTGAGTGGTGGGATCCGTGATGTGGCCTCAGAGCCCGGAACCCGCCTGCCCCTCCCACCCCTGAAAGGCACAAGACCTAGACTGGCTCTGGGAAGGAGCAGTAGAACACAGAGGTTACTGGCCACCAGGTACTTGGACCCCCAGTTCCCAGGGGCCAGTGTCCCTCGGGCAGGCCTCCGCATGAGGTCCCCAAAGGATGTGCAATTTATTAGCTAGAAGTTTTATACTTCAGCGGTGCCAGGAGAATTTGAAAAGCTGACGGAGATCATAATAACAAGAGCCAAAAGCCCACTTGCCACAGAAGAAGGGAGAGCTGTGTGGCATAATGTGACCCAGTGCAGCATGGAAACACAGCTCAGGCTACCCTCAGCAGCTCAAACAACCCAACCTCCCAGGGCTCAGCGGTTGTTGGGGGACCCTCTAGAAGCACAGGAGGATTTTCAGGACCAAGGGCAGGGGCTACCTCCCTGCCAAGACTGGGCCTGGGGTGTCAGTGTCTGGAACCTCTACCCCTGCCAAAAGACTGAGCACATAATAGCCAAACAAGTCCGCAGGGAGTGCCTTCCTCACTAACGGAACTCCCTAGCCCCATGGCAGGGACAGAATGCATGTGGCAGTCTGGAAAGGATGCTTACAAGGTGTTCTAGCCAGTCTAGGCCTCTGGGCCCTGGGGCGGGGGGAAAGTCATCTACCTGCACCCAGGAAGGCCTGGCTGAGTCATTTCTGGAGTTGGTTGCCCTGGGGTGGGTGTGATGTGACCAAGGGTTGCAGGCCACATGTGCTTCTGCAAGCATACATCTCTGGGACACATCCAGTAAGTTTCCATTCTTGCCTTCAAGCTTCCCGCCCTAGGTGCCCATCTGCTTCTCCCACCAGACTGGCACTGTGGGGAGGGATGGGCAGAGCTTTCAGGCAAAGTCAGGCCCTACCCCAGGGTGCAGCCAAAGGCCCTGCCTCACAGGCCTACCCCACCCATCTCAGCAATCACAGGACTCTTCTCCCAAAATCCACCAGAGTTCAGCTGAGGCACCTAAGACACAAGGTGGGACTTGTGAGGCTGACCCTGGAGGCAGCCCAAGTGTCTACCCTCTCTCTTATGGAAAGTCAGAGAGGAAACACCTGCATGCAACCACTGAAAAGAGCTCAACACAGTGAGCATCTGCCTCCAAAGGAGACAATGGCACACTAAGGGGGCCGATATTTGAACCAGAAGGTGACTGGCTCGTTCACTCTGGTGACAGCCCCACACACATACTACACACCTGCTCTCCAAGGAGGCTGGCTTAGAGAAACTCAGGCAAAAGATTCGCTATTTATTACTTCTTCCAGAAAACATCCCACAGATGTAATACACACTCATTTATGCCCCCATAAAAGCACTGATAAAAAAAAAATCCAAACAAAAAAATACCAAAAACAATTTTACTCAAAAGATCAGTCTAAACCAGAGCCTACAATTATCCACCCGCATGCCTGAATTCTAATGATAGCTCACCGTCCCGAGATTCCACCCTCGGGATGCCGAGGTCTGGAAGTTTTTCTAGGTGATTCTGCCATGATCCCAGTGTGGAAGCCTGGCCTGCTCTTCTGTCTGCTCTGCCAGACCTGTAACGCAGGTGCCCCTGTGTAGGGGGCGGATCAGCAGTATGGGGGGGCAGTGTCAGGGCGCCAGCAAGACTCAGGCCCACCAAGGGACAGAGGAAGGGAAGTAGCCCCAGCTGGGCCTTGCACACCCACGCAGAGTGACTCACAGTAGGGTGATCAGTAGGTCCTGCAGAAGACGCTCCCACGCAGCCGGCAGAGCAGGCAGGCAGCCATGCTGGGCCTCAAAGTCAAGGCCTTTCTCCAGGCTCAGAGCCTCTTGGAAAAGACCCTTGGTCTGTGCTCCTCTATAGGCTGGGGGTTAGTATTTGCCTGGTGACTGTGGCTTCCCCACATGGCAGAATCCCTGTTTACTCCTGCAAATGCCACCCCAAGGGCAGGAAGGCCATTTCTGACCCACAGACCCTGGAGGCCTTGTTGTGATGCTCCTGGGGCTCAGAGAGGGGAGGGGGGCTCCTCTATGCTGTTACCATACCGACAGCCGGTGCTCACCACCTTAAAGGTGACAGGGGCTGCCCCAAGGTGCTGGCAGCAAGGACACAGGCACACAGCACGTGACTTGTCCCTCCTAGAGCACCTGTCACACAACAGGCACCATCTGTTCTATACACATTACAGGTAATAATCTGTTTAATTCCAAAAATGTCCTGAGAGGCCAGAAGTGAGAGTCTTGGGGTGGGGGAAGGGGGAGCACCCATTCAACCACACCTGGAGGCCATAGCAACAGGTCCCAAAGGACAAGCTGAGGTGACATCTTTAGTAAATCTCTGCTATTCACTGTCTATCTTTCTCTTTTCCTTTCCCTAGAGCCAAGGAGGATGCGGTGGGGGGGGGGGGCTGGAGTGGTAGAGGTTTCCCTGCCTACCCCAGGCACCCAACACCGTCCTCTACTACCATGCCCCCACCTGCTCCCTGGCTGGGGTGACTCACAGCAGGGAGGGGTGGGGGTGGTGAGAGGAGCCAGTGAGCAGGGGACAGGAGGGGCGTGGGTGGCACTCAGCTCTGCCAGCTGCAGGCTGTCATGGGAGGACACTGGGTGGGGCGGAGGAGGGGCAAGAAGGGGGAGAACACAAAGCCCACTCCTAAAGGCGGGGCTGCCTCCTGCTTGTCCTCATGTGTGTTCCTGGGTCTCTGGAAATGTGGGGGACCAGAGTGCAGAGGAGGCAAGGACCCAGCCAGGAGGAAGCCAGGATGAGAGCTGCTCCTGCCAGGGTCGCCTAGGACCAGAGTCCACGTGGAGCCGCAAAGATGCCCTGAGTCCTGCCTGCCATGTGGCCCAGAGCAAATGACCCTCTCTGGGCCTTCTCTGGTTGACAGGACTAGTGACAGTGCTGGGTACCAAAGGACTGTGCTGGACTGAACATAAAATCATGACTGGGGACTGGTACATAGCAGGCAGCCCTGCCTCATCCTGGGAGGTCACTAGCAATCCACACAGACCCCATTACTAGGGAGCTCCACCAACATCAGCGGGGCTTAGGCCCTAGGGGAGACCCTTGAGGACATGCAGCCTGGCTGGGAAGGGCCAGAGAACATGAACCCTTTCAGTGGGGCAGCAGTGGGGCCCTGTCCAGCTGCCCCAGCCCGAGTCCAGGAGGCTGGGGAGGGTCTGGGCACAGATACCAGGCTTCATTCCTCTAGGATAAGCCAGCCACCACAAGCGTGAGCCCAAAGCCAACATCACTGAGGCTGAGAAACGTCAGCCTACTTGTGTGCCTGCCTGGAGTGACAGTGGGGACACTTGTCAGGAATGGTTGGAGGTACCCTGATGGCAAGGGACATGTTCAAAGACTCAGCTGCAGTGGGATGAAACTCACCACAGAGGCCTAGGCTCAGCAGCCAGGAAATTACAGCTATACCTAATCCCACTAGGGAAGTCTCACCCCTCCCCCTTAAAAGAGTAGGGAGGTGCCACACCCTCATTGCTGCTGTTCCTGTCAGAGGAGACAAGGGTCATAGCAGAGAAGAGTTCTCCCCCAGGCCTGGTCCTCCACTTCTTATACCCCCAAGGAGCTGGGCCTGCTTTTGTCCAACACTCCAGACTACAGGGTGGTCAGGGCCCTACTCCCTGCATCTTCAGCACATGGCAAGACCACTGTCCCCAGAAGGCCAACACTATCTCAGGCACCTGCATTGTTGGGCAGCCTGAGAACGTCCTGGAATCTTAGACAGCTCAGGATGTCCACAGGCACATCCTAAGCACTGACTGGTACCATGCATCCCAATGCATCTCAGAGCTTAACACTATGTTTCCACACTCCTAAGGGCCACCAGGCTGGAACCAAAAGGACATCCCGGGTCTTACCCCAGTCCTGGCTTCGCTACATTCTGCAGACCCGGGGTAAGGGTGGGGACCAGGAAGGTAGCAACAGCAAGTTCAGATCTAAGGGCCAATGCTGGCCAGCCCAGGGCCACTGGGAAGGCCTCTGAAGTAATGGCCTCGGATTTATTCAAAGGCAGAGTGTGGGGGAGGGACTTAATTTCTCAGAAAGAGCATCAGCCAGGCAAGGGTTCCCCACGGCACCCCCTCAGACTTTCTGAACTGGTTCACATGGATTCCAACCAGCTGGGACCCTGGTCAGCTCCAGACATGTGGCACAGCCTGCCCGTCCACACTCAGGGTACAGATGGCACAGGGATGAGAAAGAAAGTGGTGGGTAGGTTCTGGCTATTCCTCCTGAAAGGAAAACACTCCTGGGAGTAAACAAAGAGCTCTCTAGGCCCCTCAGAATAATGGCTCCTGTCACCCCCTCTTGAGGGGGGGCACCAACGTCAGGCCAGGTGGAGGCAGGACTGGTCCCTGCCAGGGCTCCATTCCGGGGAAGCCACGGGCACCTCCCCAGTTTCCTTCCTGTGGGGTTCCTCCAAGGTTGTCAGGGTAAGTCTTCAGGCAAGGGTGGGGGTCATGTTGAGGGGTGGGCAGTAGACACAGACATCCCCTCCTGTTGGCCACCAGCACGGGGTCCCAGAGAATGTCCAGTCAGGCCTGTGCAGCCACCTGAGGCTGA